TTCAAAGTTGAGCGCTAATTGGGTTTTGACGGAACTCCTCGATATATTTCCTTCTTCGTACCCTCCACTGTCTGTGCTGACTACCAGATTGCTCTCCGTTGCAGAACCTCGGGAAACGTTCTGTCCTATCATTCATTACGCATGAATTTGCAGATGGGCCAGTCAGAAAAAGCCAACGCAAACAATGTCACCTAGACGCTCAAACAAATCAACAACCTTGTTCTTTCCTCCTTGGAAGTACTTTTATACCTGCACATGCTGCTGCGCCGCAAGAATTATGCCTTATCGAGCGGTTGATAAAGCGTATCGTTATTTCCTACATACGTCAAGGATGACTTAACTAGGCTTACATAATTACCCAACTGAGCATTTACACTTGCCTGGGAAACCAGACTATCCTTGATGCAAATATGTTTGAGATAAATCGATGTCGACTCTGTTCGCGAAGGGCGTGCGGAAGAGTAGAACGGAAGACCCTGGAAGTCGGCGCCATCGGCCGAACCGAAAGGGAAAAGAGAATATAAATGAAGCAAAGAGCAAAAGGTAGAGGGTTAGCCAGGTTCATCCAGGCAACAACCGCTCAAGGCCATAACAGGTCTACCTTGCCTTTAGTGAGGAGTTGTGGAAGGCCGTGCAATCAGTCAACCATACTTAATTCGCATTCTCTCCGTCTTTCTTTGCCACTGCTTATTGTTTTAATTCGAACGCCTCTTCTCTCCCCTTTCTGACGAGGTTTCCTCTCCTCTCTGAATCCCTGCAGACGGCCTGGCCGTGAAGGCCGCGTAACGGCTTGACTATTATTAACCTCCTCCATGCAATGGGATCCCTCCGATTCTTCACCTTGCCCTCTTGTGTTTTCTGAGAAAATATAGCACTGGAAATTACCGGGCCAGTTGGTGATCAAAGTCTGGATCAGCGGCTTGGGATGAAGGCCCAAGCCCGCTTGCCTTCCTCCCGCGCCTGTTATCCAATGCACAGACTGAGTGGTTGCATACAAAGTCACACCAGAAACCGCCCATTCCGTTCTAGAATGACGTTGGCTAATACATCATTACTGATTTTTAACAGCCTCAAAAGCCAAGCTGCATCACAAAAACAAGCCCCGTATAGCATGTTAGGCCATTCGTACGGGCTTCACGGCAGGTATTTCTTGGAAATACAACTGCCAAAGTTCAGGACACGGAAGGCTCTGCCTTTTTTTTTTTTTTATTCTTAATTTTCCGTGCATGAGCCTATGACATCGATTGAAAAGGGTGTGCCAGCTGATCAACCTACGTATGCGGGTCGACACAGTTGCCTGCAAGCTGTGAAGATTATTCGCCCTCAAGAGTTAGTAGTAGGTAGAGTAACTCTAGGGCCGTTCCAGCCAGCTTGAATGCTAGAGAGTTTCCTGCAATAGGTCCACATAACCGCTTAGGTTATATCAGTCTGCTACAAGTCATGGAAATCTATGCGTTTTCTCACATGCCTGCGGATGTCCCCTGTTATTCAACCCCTGCGCTGAACCAATGAAGGCCCCAAAACTGCACTGCACTGCAAAGGATTGCAATCGCTGATCTCAGGGAATTGTTCCGCGTGTTTTGATCCCTCGTTATGACCTTCTGGCTTGTGTCTTTCTCTCGCTTCACCTTGTCACCTGTGGGCTGATTCCCTGCTATGCACGCTGCATTCAACGTACTACGGTCAACAGTTTTTAAACACCATCGCTACGTTCTTGCATGCCTCGGTGACTCTTTTGAACTCTATTTCAGGGTTTAAACAGCTCGATGCTCGTGTCTGTCGACTGCTCTCCCCTGTGGTTGGATTTCATATTTTACCCAGTGCTCTCTGTCATTCTCCCTTGCCCCCTCTTCCCCTTTATAATCGAGGGTACTTACTGAATGTCCCGTTAGATTTATACTTGGATAGCCATCATGTTGGCCAAGGGAATGTCAAGCCTGGAGCTTCTCCCTCGATTTGAACTTCTCCAGATGCAACGCTTTTGTCCAGGGTATCAGGTATCGGATACGGTACTTCGGTGTGGAAACGGATGTCATTTAGATTTGGATTGGTTAACTATGTATCCCTACCCTGTATCCCTGCCAGCCAATGCAGATTACTACCTCAGGCGCATAAAATACTACCACATTTCCAGGGGAGGAGGCTCTTCTTGCCTTTCCGCGAGATTTCCTTGGTGCTCAGGAGAAAGGCCCCCCCCCCCCCCCATGGGGCTTATGCCCACTGCAAGACTACCCTACATGTCCCTTCAGTATCCTGTCTTCTGGCTGTTTCGTGAGGCCTGTGGGTCGGTGTCCTCCAACTAGAAGCCTGCCCAAATGGCTGAGGAAAAGCGTTGTTGCACCTCTAGGCCCCGCATTCTTCCTTTCGCCCCTTCAAGGCTCCCTTCTAGTTGGCTTGAAGAGCTCCATCTGATAGGCAGAGCCGGACAGACCTGGGGAGTGCATATTGCGGTATTGAAGTTGCGGCGTACCACTTACGACATGGGGGAAACAGATTGTTATCAGCAGATTGCCGGTAGCTCCGAGATAACTTGACCATCTATACCAGTCAACAACAGGATAACAGGAAGAAACCAGTCCGTGGCGCTTTTCCACATGCATATACTAACAGTTTACATGTTGCACCGCGTTTAACGAACTCAAGACCCGACACAGTTCAAGTGAAATATCATGCGAAAGAAGGAAAGAAAGCGGCCGGCTGGAAATAAGCCTCGTTTTATCTCTTTAAATTTACATTTACAATACATAACTACAGCCACGCTCCACGCGCCAGCCTTGCCTTGGGAAGCATTGTCCACAGGCATTTATACGCACACACTCCTACATGAATCCAAGCGCTTGCCATTATTGCGGCCCAATCCCCGGCGTCACCCATGCAAGCTAATCTCAGCCCCATGGCATTCTTCGCAGGACATGGGAGCGTGAAACATGCGGTGCCGCTTGGCTGCTCTGTCTCCCTCTCTCCGCGTCTCGATGCATCAGTTTCTCTTTATTTATTTTATTTTTTTTCTTTTTTTTTTCTTTCTTTTTTTTTTGCATGGGGTTGATTGACCATTGATTCTTCATGCCATTGTTTTAGACTTTTGCTACGCCGCTTAACAGCATCATGTCTATCGTCCACTGCCACCCCTTTTCTGGACAGAAGCTATGCCACGTATTGATATGGCGGATGTGGAGGGTGCAGTGCTACAGTGCCCTGATATAGATGCGGTGTCGATGTTCATAAGTCAGCATATACATCGGCACGGCCATGTCTCTACCCAGCTGCCCTGTTGGTACGCACCGAAAAAGGACCATGCATCACCATTTCAGCTGGTCGAATTGAATCAATCTCCAGAAGTTACCTGTATAAAGGTTAAGATACAGCTGCATAACTCCGCACGCACATTGCCACACAGACCCCCCTATCCATAGCCCAGACGCAGCGCGGAGTTTCCACAAATGAGAAAAAGCCAACATGCCGTCTCGTCACCTTGTTCGTTGGTATATTTACATCCCTTGCTCCGTTCCAGTTCCTCAGTTGCCGTTTCTGCTGCTCGATATCTTAACTGTCTCAGAGGACCCGTCATGCCGGCGGCGTCCGTGACAATGATGCATTGCCCGGCGCTAAATTAGGTAACTGCTTTGATACAGACGGAATATTTCTGTCTTCCCGACTGTTTGCTTTTTCATCTAGTTATGGCGCCTGGACGATTTGGCCAGTCAATCAACGTCCTTTTCGGGGCTGTTCCTCAATCCGTTTATGCGCAGCCTCTGCAACGAAACCTGTTGACCTTTCCTGACGGCTGACTTCAGAGCTTGGGGTTACATGACTGTGAACAGGTGAGTCAACCGCGCATATCCATATATTACACTTGCATGGGGGGAAAATGAGCGGTAGTTAGAAGGTAAAGGGGGAGACAAGCCGTATGTAGTTGAAACCGAGGAATACGGGACCTTCATCTCTTATAGGCAGTTGGTGAAGTAAATCATATTAACATATGCCTACAGAACGCTTTTAAAGGGCAAGTGTCGGTCTAGAAATAAACGCGGGAGGCAAGATAACACTTTGGCTCCTGGACTTGTTGGATTTTGACTGGTATGGGGCAGACCTCGGCCAGCGGTAGTATAGTTTTACATACATCTGACTCCTTCTGCCTGCATCTGGAGCCCTGCAATCAATCAATCAATCAGGTTCAGTCTACCAAAGGGCGTTCCCATGCAGGTTTGTCTCCTTTTCTTTTTCCTCCCTCTTCTCTTCCTCTCATATGCAATTTACCACACACACCACCCCCGGCATACTCGGCCTGGCGGACGCGGACTCAGCTCTGCAATCCCTGAAGCACCTAACCAGGGCACCAGCGAACGCCGACTACGAAGCCAATGATCAAAGAGATTGCACTTGAAAAGACCAGATACCAGCCTATAATGAAATTGGAATCGCAAGGCCAGGGATGGGACAATATATACCAATATAACAATGCACAGTCCGATTGCTGTGCCTTCATATGTCGAATTATGAACGGGGAGGATACTACTGGGAGAGGGACCCCTTTCCCCCTTACCTACAGCTGCACCAATTAAAGCATTATGTGAGTGGGTTATATGTGATGGTTGAGACGAGCAGAGAATTGCTTGCCATCCGGAAGAATGAGGGAAATACTTTCGATGTCAATTGACCAGATGTTACTACGCCTTGAAGTTTGACTAGCTACATATTTGAGCCCGGAGGCCATGATCTGACATTCTGATAGCAAAAACCAAAGGAAAAAAAAGAAAAGGATCCCAGAAAGACGGCCCCTGTCCCTGTGCGTAGTCATTTGTAGACACTGAGTCCTGGTAGAAAAAGTTTCATTGAAGCAGATCCTGGCAAAAGCAAAAGAGCACGAAAGTGCGGATGATGAGGCAGATGAGGGATGCATGCCTCTAGTCCCAGTGAGTGCCAGTGGCAAGTTCGCATCTAATGAGGAGAATAGGACATGTTAGACTACTAGTCTTGATATAGGGGGTTGGGTGTTCAACTTACGGGTCAGGCCCGAACTGAATATTGGCCTGGTCCCAGTCATCCATGCGAATGAGGCATGAACGGAAGCGTACAGCAGCATCAATGGAGCAGAATCTGAACACGACACTGCGAATTTTCTGATTCAGTAGTTAAGTTAATATCACGACTACCAAATTTTCTATTTAGAGGGGCTTTGAAACTTACGGTTGATGCCTCATAGGAATCGATGATCTTCTCAAGGTGCCACTTTCTGGTATCAATTATCTCAACCAGCTGAGCAATGCTGACATTGAGAGGAGCCCCAACTGCACGAACGATGCGAGTTGCACCGATGTCCAAGCATTCGACAAGACGAGAGCTAATAATGTCGACCTCCTTGCCGATGTCCACGAAAACAGTCCCACGACTGCCGTTGTAGTCGAAGTCAATACCATTTGGGTACTTGTCATAGAAGGTCTTGCAGTCAGTCGCAGAGCAGAAGCGGATTTCAGCAGACTGGCTGGCTGGGTGAACAGAGACAGACTCGATCTTGCCTCCGTGGATGAGAGCAAGGATGCGAGACTGACTACGGAGGCAGACTGGAATATTAGTCAAGATGATACGACGTGGTGCAGCATCTATGTGGAAACATGTTAGTAGATGGATGGATATGTTGAGAGACGCGTTGATATAGGCTTACTGCTAGCAGCACGCGGAGCTGGACTGCCCCAGGTCTTGAAAGTGACTAAATTCTCACGATCCTCCTCTTCTGCAGAAATAGAAGCTTGAACGGAGTCACTGGCAATGGACTCTTCAACGGCAACATCAGAGGCCTTTCCGGGAGTCTCTTCAGGAACTTCTTCCGGAGTAACGATGCCACTCTCCTCAGCTGGCGGGTATTTGGCCTCTTCAACAGCAGGTTCCTTAACGGGAGAGGGGCCAGGATTGTAGTTCTCCTTGTCTTCTGCTACAGAGGAAACACGTTAGCTATTGTGTAATATAGGATAGGCAGGCAATGGCTTACCTTCGATGGGAGCAGGTTTAGTGACGCGACCCTGACCAGCCTTCAAGACACTGCCACCGCGACGAATCTTCTCGAGGGCTCCCATGAAGGCCTCGGTGTCATCAAAATTGATAGCAGGCTTAGTATTCTCCATCTTCGGCTTGCTGGTAGTGGTCTTTGGTTCCTGTTTGTTGCTCTTTTGCTCCGGGGGGCTCTGCTAGAAGTAGGTCAGCCAGGCTCATCTAGATAGGGAGAAGCAAAGCAGAGCAGAGTAGAAATAGAAGCAGGAACAGAAGCAGATAGGATAGTAATAACTCACCTGCTGTGGCTTCTTCTCTTTGCTGCTCTGGGTGTCCTGGTCCTTTGGTGGCTTTGGCTTGTTTTTGCCTTGCTGGAGGACAGGCTGGTCCAAGGAGCAGATATGGTTGTCAGAGGCCCAGATGCTCTTCTCTAGGCCACCACTTCTCTCACTGATCTGGTTGAAGGTATCAAAGATGACTCTGCCCACCTTCACAGCCTCATTGATTCTCTCACCTTCATCATGGTATTCCTGAATTCTCTTGTTGGCTCTGACAATGTGGGAGTCTTTAGAGTCACCGCCCGCCATGGTGGATGTGTCCAGGTTGTCTCGAGATGCAGAGATATCAGGTCACTGACGAAAGATAGAAGTCAAGATGCCAAAGAAGATGATGGAGAGGATTGATAAGAAGAAGAGAAGAGGAAGAAAAGGACAAGAGGATGGAAAAGATATAGGACCAAAAGGGTACGACTAAGCACTTAGGGAGTGTTGCAGGTTAGGCGGCGGATCAGGGGGCCAGGTAGGAGAAGAGGACAGGAAGAAGGCCATCAGAGACCGCAAGGGAGAAGGCTTTTATAGCCTGCAAGAAAGTTCTATCTGAGGCAGCGGTAGTGAATGCAGATTTAACGGGAAGTGCCGTTGGAAGAGCCTACAGCAGTGAAGGAAAGGTGGAGGATATGGCAAGGCCTGATATCCATACAAGGGGCAATGGATGTAAGGGGGTATATGGCTAGAAGCTTCATATTTACAAGAGAAATATGAATAAAGAGAGAGACAGATAGGCATGTCAGTTATGGTATCATAATCATATTATTATTATTATAAGAAAAAAGCAGTTGAAATGGATATTTTTGACCAACCTCCAACTCCGGGCTGATATGTAGAAATACAATACAAAAACAAGGGGGCAAAGAAGAGACCAGTTCATCAAGGATGGAATATCAAAACATGTCAGGGGATATGAGTTCCCACGTCTTCTCGCCCGGTTGGGGATGCGGCTTCATTACCTGGAGAGCTCGGTTACCGCAGAAGCCTCCCGTGCCGGCAGCGCGGGTGATGGTCTGATAGGAGCCTTCCCCCCTTTCATTTTCTACCCAGGCGCGCTCTTCGATGAGATCGCCTGGTTTCTCGGTCCGGCGAGGGTTGTGCCATGGCATACCTACCAGGCGGTTGATGATGTCATGCGGCAGCGAGAAGAGCCGCTCGAACCGCCGGGTAACGCCTAGCCAGGAGAGGGTAAAGGGGGAGTAGGCAACGCGGATATAGGGATTCACGTATATCCCTGTATCAGCAGAGGGCTCTCCGCCAGTGGAGGGCGGGTCCTGGATATCAGCATGTACAAGACAACACTCGGATGCTTCCCAGAGGAGGTCTGGTTCAGCACGGAATCGAGTTGTGTTATGTTGCTGGTGCTGGTGCTGGAAATATTTTGCATCAAATGCAACCATGCCTCCCCAGCAGCTGCGAACACGGACAGCATCGCTTTGGCTGAGGACGTCTCGTCTGCTCTGCCCGTATCCCGCAGTGGTGAACCAAGGGAAGAACGGCAATCCCATAGAGTATCCTTCCAGGTCCCGCGAGGCAAAAGTATCGTAGAATTTGAACGGGTTGATAAAGTCGACTGCACAGGCAGCCCGGTAGCGGGTGGCACCACCGTCCTCGGCCAGATTTGTCGAAAGGAGCAGCTGGAGGGCATCGACGGGATCGAAGAAGACGTCGTTCACGTAGAGGATCTTGTCAAACCTCGGCATGCCAGCCTGATTGATTGGCCGCAGAGCACGATTGCGTACTTCAGCCAGGAAGGAGATGCGCTTCAGTCTCCTGGACCCGTCAGGCAGGGTGATGTGTAGCAGCCCAGCCGTGTCGAGATGCTCCTCTGTGACCATGGAGTGGTTACACGGAGTCTCGTCTGCCATCCTCTGCAACGCACCCCGTGCCTGTTCGTTCATGTCGTTCTCATAGATGCTGAGATACGAATTCTCCGGTCCCAGGAGGTCTATCAGCTGCAGGATACTCCTGCTCCATTGGCTCTGTGCTAGGCTGCCGTCTGGGTCATATATGTTGGCGGTGATGAAGACCTTTTCGTTGCGCGGGTTCCCTCGCCCGGGGGTCTCACTGCCGGCTGCAAGACGCTTCAGCTCGTTATAGTGTGCCGGCCGGTGGGTGTAGGAAGGCCAGAGGAGTGCCACCGCAGCTGTCAGACAGAGGCTGGCCGTCACCAGCCATCGCAGGGTCCTCCTATATGTGCCTGACGGTGACAGCCGGGAGGCCGGCTTGCTGTGTCGCCTGGCGGCAAACTTCCGGCGCCATCGCGGGGGCAGCAGCCGCAATATTCGAGACGACCAGGCCGTCGAGCGATCCAACAGGTAGCTGTAGCTGTAGCTGTAGCTGTATCGTGACCGGTTGGTTCGTTGGTAGCCGCCGCGCGCGCGCTCGCCGTCGCCGTCGCCGTCACCGAGGTAGTCGAAATCGTCGAGGATGAAGGCGTCGCTGTCGCAGGAGTCGCGGGAGCCAGACATGCCAGTCAGAGGCCAATGGACGTCAGACAACACTCTGCTTGTTCTTCTTGTTTCTCGACTCCTCTCTTCTTGTCTGCGTTCTTCATCTATTAGGCTCTCTTGGGCAGAAGATGCGGTCTGCGATGGGGAAAAGAGAAGCGGCTGATCACCGTTGCAGACAATTCTGGCGCAGTGACGCAGGATTTACGATAGTGCGCAAATAGTACAGCAGCCTGGTCAGCCTCAGGACGCAGTTTAAAAACGCCCATCGGAGGATCGAAGACGCCTTCTCTTCTGCTTCTACTCGGTATAGAATGTCGCACATGCGTAACAGGCCAGATTTTTCTCACAGAGTTATCGGATCAATCTCCGTCTCCGTCATCCTGCCAGATAGACTCCACGCCGGCCAACGCTGTCCCGGCTGTCTGTATTACTTAGTTATATTCGTTATTCTTCACGCCCAGCAGCACGGCCGGCCATGATCTTCGACCCTAAATATATCTGGCGCAAAAAGCAACGACGGGTTGCACAGCATCAAAGCCATCCTGGACACTTGGCGCATTCGGAGGCGTTCAACACTTGACAGCCTCAATCTCACGTCTTCCATCTGTAGTTCGTAGCTTAACCTGACTCCTTCTGCTCGTTGTCCAGAGAGGCTGGCTGGCAGACGGGCAGACAGACAACCTTGGTGGTACGGGATGGGCGGCAAGTCTCACGGATCTGGGGAAGATGCGGCCGGATGGATTTTTCCCTGGGCTTGGGAGGATTTAATAACAGAACCCCCAGGGATGGAGGACTATACTCAGCCTTCTTTGACTGGGCATCTCCAACATGTGCGCGCACCAGCATGACGTGCCGGACTGACTGACAGAGGGACAAGATGGATGATGTCCTTGTGGCCCCCCCGCCTCCTATCCCATCCCATCTTGCCCCCGATCCTGCGAGGTCTAACCGTCCCAACCGCCACTGCGAGGCCCGATAGCTCGCGTGGCCAGCCCAGGTGAGAAAAGCGCAAAGGATAACGACCACGGTGAGGCAGACGAAGGCCAGCACGATGTCATCCTGCCCAGCTGGACGTCTATTTGCATTCCGTCCCAACTGGAGCCCTCACTTGGCGAAGCCCCCCGGCGCCCGCGGCGTCCGCCATAGCCCTGCGTTCATGGTTCCTGGTTGTCCGCCAAGTTGGCCGCTTTGCTGCTGTTCTCGACGTTTGGCTCGGAGGCCTCGCGCATCGTTTCGCCGTTGCCAACTATAACTATACGAGCCCTTGGTCTTGGTCAGCCCAGGTCGAGACGCAGTCAAGAGTCCTGCAGTCAAAAACAGAGACAGGGAGAAGGGAGTATAAAGAGACGCCAATTGGCTGCACACCAGGCAGCCTCCGACTGGGCGATTTATTGGCATCTCGTTTCTTCTGACGCTGAACGCTGGCTGCCGAAGCTTCGTGTCCGTGTCTCTCACTTATATATTTATTTATTTATATCAGAAGCCGGCTGCTGGTCCGTTGTTGCTGCTGTCGTCGTCGTCGTCGTTGTCGATGGAGACAGACATTTAACTAGATTTAGAAACCAACGGCCTCCGCTCTGATAGCTAGCTAAATCCAGCGTCCAGCATATCCACCGCACACGTACACACGTACACACACAAAAAAACACCCAGAGAGAGACAGACAGACAGACAGAGAGAGAGAGAGAGGATCATGACTGAGGAGCCAAAGCCGGTCATGGCAGTCCTGCGGGACGGCGAAGGTGGCCTGGATACAAGGGCGCCGACTGAAGCTGGCTCGCTCGGCGAAGAAGCTCCCAAGAAAGAGACAGACGGCATAGTCGACGTCCCAGACGCAGAGCAGCAGAAGCAGGAAGCTCCCCAGCAGGGCTTCAGTGCCTACGTGGTGAGTATCTCCGCTGCCAATTGATATACAACTATGCCAGCAGCAGCTAAAAATCATATCTAGAAATTATGGGCTTGGTGTGAGCCGATAGATGTGGTTCTTCGTATCTGTGGCTTCTTCGCTGCCGTGGCATCAGGCACTGTAAGTTTCCAACGTCTACGTTATTAGCTACTGTTAAAGACACTGGCTGACCCTGTCGTAGGCTTTGCCTCTTATGACTATCATCTTTGGCAAGTTTGTCAATATCTTCAATGACTTTGGCGTTGGCAAGATCTCCGGAGACGACTTCAGGGCCCAGATATCAAAGAATGCGTGAGTAGAGGCTATTTCTTTGCATTGTGGTACCAGAGAACGTATTTTAACATATTCAAATTAGGCTCTGGTTTGTTTATCTCTTCATCGGAAAGTTTGCTGTAAGTATTCCTTCTTCTCAAGTCTCATCCAAGGGGCGCTGCTGATATCCACAAAACTAGCTCGTCTACATACATACCATATGCTTCAATATCACTGCCATAAGATGCGTCCGGAAGCTGCGTCTGCAGTATATCCGCGCCATTCTCCGCCAGGAGATGGCCTACTTTGACACCTATACGCCAGGCTCTGTTGCAACTCGTATCTCGAATAACGCAAACCTCATCCAGACAGGCATGTCTGATAAAGTAGGCACCTGCTGCCAGGGTGTTGCCATGCTGATAGCCGCCTTTGTCGTTGCCTTTACCCAGAGCTGGAGGCTGACACTTCCCGTGGCCACCTCAATACCCACTGCTGTCACGCTAGTTGGCATTACTGTTGCCCTAGACGCTAAACTTGAAGCAAAAATACTTGACATATATTCCAAGGCTGGAGGTCTCGTCGAAGAAACACTAGGCAGCATCCGTGTTGTTGTTGCCTTTGGTGCTGGAGACCGTCTAAGCAAGAAATATGATAATCATCTTGAGGCTGCCAAAGGGTTCGGCGTCAAGAAAGGGCCTGTTCTCGGCGTACAGTACAGCTCGGAATTCTTCATCATGTACTGTGCCTATGCCTTGGCCTTTTGGTACGGTATCAAGCTTTTGCTCCAGGGAAAGATCGGAAGTGGAGGAGATATTCTCACGTATGCCACCCCATATCTATCTGTTTTCTTCCTATACGTTTTGATATTAAATGATGTGGTAGGGTCTTATTTTCTATTGTAATCGGCACTTCATCTCTCACCATGATTGCACCTACGCTAGGAGAGTTCACTAAGGCCGGTGCTGCTGCCAACGATGTTCTCAACATGATTAACAGGGTGCCAGAAATTGATTCACTCAGCACCGAGGGCCTGAAGCCCAGCAGTGTCAAAGGTGACCTGGAACTCTCTAACGCAGTTTTCTCATATCCTGCCCGACCTACCATAAGGGTCCTAGATGGAGTCAATTTGAAGATACCCGCTCGTAAGGTCACTGCTCTTGTTGGAGCTAGCGGCAGTGGTAAGAGCACAATCATTGGACTCCTCGAGAGGTGGTATGATCCCGCCAGTGGTTCTATCACTTTGGATGGCGTAGACATTAAGGATCTGAACGTTGGGTGGCTTAGACGCCAGATTGGCCTGGTTCAACAGGTATGCCTCCCTTCTCCCTTCAAAAATAAAACCGCAAGTTAATTTAAGATACTAATATCGATATAGGAACCAGTATTATTCAATGACACTATCTACACTAATGTGCTCTATGGACTGCCGCCTGATGAAATAGCCCAGATGGACGAGGAGAAGAGGAGAGAGCTCGTCAGACAAGCCTGCATTGAGTCTAATGCAGATGACTTCATCCAAGGATTTCCCAAGGGTTACGATACTGTTGTCGGCGAGAGAGGAAGTCTTCTCAGTGGTGGTCAACGACAGAGAGTCGCTATTGCTCGTAGCATTATCTCCAACCCACCTATCCTATTGCTGGACGAGGCAACTTCCGCTCTGGATCCTACTGCTGAAGCTATTGTTCAAGCTGCTCTAGATAGAGTTTCTCAGACCAGAACAACAGTGCTCATCGCCCACAAGCTTTCGACTGTCAAGAAGGCGGATAACATCATTGTCATGAACAAAGGTCAAGTTATCGAACAGGGGACTCACGAGTCGCTCCTAGATACAAAGGGGCAATACTGGAGTTTGGTTAATGCTCAAAGCCTCTCTCTTGCAAGTGACGATTCTTCTTCCGATACCGATAAGGAAACTGATGCACAGCCAACCGAGATTTTGGAGAAACATGCAACTACCAAATCAACTCACAGCAACGTCCCCCATGAAGTTGCCGCCGAGTCGGAGGATGTGGCTCGAAAATTCTCCCTATTCAAATGCCTTCTTATTATTTTCTATGAACAACGACGCCATTGGCTATTCTTCCTGCTAGGAGGCCTTGCCTCCATCGTCGGTGGTGGTGCATTCCCAGCCCAAGCCATTCTCTTTTCTAGGATTGTGACTGCATTCCAGCTACCAAGAGACCAGTGGCAGAAGGAAGGAAATTTCTGGGCATTGATGTTCTTCGTCCTTGCACTCTGCATTCTCCTGACGTATGCGTCAATCGGATTCTTCTTGACAGTTGCCGCCTTCCGCTCGTCAAAGTTCTACCGCAGCGAGTACTTCAAAGCCATGATCTCGCAGGATATCGCATACTTTGACAAACCTGCTAATTCCTCTGGCAGCCTTACTGCACGCCTATCAACTGACCCTCAGAACCTGCAGGACCTTCTCTCCTCCAACATTGGCCTCATCCTAATCGTCATTGTCAGCCTTCTCGCTGTTTCCCTCCTAGCCCTTGTTACTGGCTGGAGATTAGCGCTTGTCTCCCTATTCGGGTGTCTCCCTCCCCTCTTCCTGGCTGGCTTCATCCGCATGAGGATGGAGATGCAGGCCCAGGATAAGAACGCCAAACTATACTTGGAAAGTGCGCGATTTGCCTCTGAGGCCGTCAACTCCATTCGCACCGTTTCATCTTTGACATTGGAGCCTACTGTATACAACAACTACGGCGATAGACTGAAAAAGCCAGTGGCTAGGTCTCTAAAATACACCACCATTGCGATGATATTCTTCGGCTTCTCGGATAGTGTTGATACCGCCGGTAAGCCTCCTCTGTCTGCGTACAGTACGCCTCTAATTGCTGTTATTTACTGACATTATTAATAGCTATGGCGCTGGCATTCTGGTATGGTGGAAGATTGATGTCATATGGCGAATACAATGCACAGCAGTTTTTCGTCATTTTCATCGCGGTGATTTTTGGCGGACAGGCTGCTGGATTCATTTTTGGCTTCACAATGAGTAGGTTCATTCCTGCGAACTGATTTGAAGATGATAAACTGACTTGCCCATTTCAGATACTACCAAAGCTCATGCTGCTGCAAATCATATCATACATCTTCGAGGACAGGTCGCTCCGATCAATGGTTCAACCGGTGAAGAGCCTGCATCTACGGAGGATTCAGATGTGGCCGTGGAATTCAGAAACGTATCATTCAGCTATCCCACTCGTCCTGACCAGCCTGTCCTTCGGAAAATTAACCTAAAAATCCGTCACGGCCAGAATGTCGGTCTTGTAGGCCCATCCGGATGTGGAAAGACGACTATGATTGCTCTTCTCGAACGTTTCTACGACGTCACCTCTGGAGATATCCTTATTAACGGAAAACCATTGACTGATATTGATGTGACCAAATACCGTGAAACCGCCAGCCTTGTGTCCCAAGAGACCACGCTATACCAAGGTACAATTCGAGAAAACATCCTTCTCGGTGTTACCCGAGATGTTCCCGATGAAGAAATTCACCAAGCCTGCAAGGATGCAAATATCCATGACTTCATCATTTCTCTTCCGGAGGGTTACAATACCGAGGCCGGATCCCGCGGCCTTTCGTTCAGTGGAGGCCAAAGGCAACGTCTCGCCACTGCAAGGGCCTTACTTCGAAACCCAGACTTTCTCTTCCTGGATGAAGCCACCAGTGCCCTTGACACCGAAAGTGAACGTGTTGTCCAAGCTGCCCTGGAAAACGCCAAGAGAGGCCGAACCACTATTGCCGTTGCTCATCGACTCAGCACCGTCCAAGATTGTGATGCAATTTTCGTGCTCGAAGCTGGCAAGATTGTGGAACAAGGTACCCACCAAGAGTTATTGAGGCGGAAGGGCCGATACTTTGAAATGTGCAAGGCCCAGAGCCTCGACCGTGAAGCATGATACCCATGTTCGCCCTAAAAAAGGACGAGCTAAAATATATACCTCTCCCTTCTAGCCACAATTCGTCATTTATGTCACTTATAATGTCTCAAAATTTGCATTTTTTTTGTAGTTTATCATCAGCGGTCTGCAGCGACAACCGCATTTGTTATATTTAGAACATAAATTCACTAGCTAATCAGGATATTTTTTATGCTTTTTCAAGAACCATATCTCAATTAGTTACGCTCTTGGTGTAACTTGAGCCTAAAGCATGGCAAACTAGTTACATCGTTTCACAGTGGCTGATATACCTTGCAAGAAGCCGGATATCTTTCAGCCGCATCCTTGCCTAGTTAATTAACTCTGTTGTCGAAGGGCCGAGAGCGGATTGATTAACTCTGATACCCATGGATAAATACATCAGACCCTTTGCAGTACCTTCATAATTCATAGTCTTTAATAAAATCGATTTCAATCCTTTGCATGGCCGTTATATTTGAGAGTCGAAAGTTTTCAAATGCTCAAGGGGGGTGCAAATAGCCAATGAAGTATATTTCCTAATACGGCTTAGCAGCCTTCAGCTAACTAAATAGCTAGTTAATTAACACCAGTGAGCCACACTAAATCAAACAGTAACCTTAACATAGGTTCCACCACATTGGTGATCTCCCTCAATTTTGCAGGGTACATTAAGGGCTTTGAGAAGGCGGTTCCGTCCGATGAATCCACATATGCGACCTGACTCAGGCGACCGTTCGACTCCGATGCTGTGTAGCAGCCCATTCGGAAGTTTTGGAAGCGATTCTAGCTTCCTTGAAACCAACTGGTAGTCACCAAATAACTCATGGGCACGTATATCTTTTCCAGTCAAAATTCCATGACCCAGAGTGACACAGATGTGGTTCTCTACCATAATGGCATGCGCCTCAGGGTTAGAATCAGGCTCAAGTAACACTGAATAGATGTCTCCTGAAAAGGATTGAAGACCTTCTTTGGTCATATTGAGAGGGAACTCCCATTCATTTTGAATTCGCATTGGATGCCATGGAGTGATCTGGAGTGTGCCGATTTTGCAGATGTCGATGTGATTCACGCTAGTCTGCAGGACAGCCCTAACTTCCCGCGGTCCGTGTGGAGTCCATACTGACATACCGGGACGAAGATTCTCGAGAGAAATAGTAGCGTTGATAAGCTCACTTTCCTTGCTGGAGATTCGGACATGGCAGTTTCCTGTAAAGCACGGCCCGCTGGATCTGTTATATTGAGACATACGTACTGGACGGTGGGGTGCTCCCGAGGATGACGGCCGTGATGGCTTAGGAGGTGGTAAGTTGTCAAACACTCCGTCCAGCTCGGTCCGACAGTTACAGAACAGGGGAGAAGCCTTGCCGTACATCAATGGGCCTGGGTCTTTGAAGCTATTGCACATTTGGTTTACATGTGCATTGAGAATTGAGAGGACTTTCAGGAAATATTAGTAGAGTCAAGAATAATTGAGAAACTTAGGTGTTGCTTACGGTAGTGCCCACCCCAACGGTGATAGAACTCTGGGGATGACAATGCCATGCCTATTTGTCCATGTGGTGATTCACCAGCGATATCCTCAATAATGCTCCGGTTGTAATCATCAGTGTGACCGAGATCTTTGATTTCAGTAGCCAGGCTTTCTAGCTTCGTTCGCATTTCTTCGACGCCCCTCAAGGAGAAACTGAAGTTCTCCGCGGTATCCTCAAGTGGGTGGAAAGTCCTTAGAAGTGTACAAAGCCTTGAGCGCATGTAATGGTAGTCGCTCACAGCCTGAGGTACTGAGATCTCATCGATGTTGACCACCTTATGCACCTGGACCTCCTTAGTCTCACCATCAACGGCATAAACAAGTTTGCCTCGTATATTAACTGTGCGGTTCTTCGATGCTTTACTGTAACGGATAATAATATCCCGTGACTGGCCATATTGAAGGCTTCCTAGCCTCAGTGATATTCCATTGCCAGCTGGCGTCTCTAGTTCCAAGCCAGGTCTGCTTCCTAAATCCACACTTAGCTCTGACGAAGGATCCTCCTGAAGAATAAGTTTTGCCTGTGCTGTGAATGCTGAATATAAATTTGCAACAGCATGGACAAACACAGTTCCTATGTCCATCATTAGTTATATTCTTATTAATTTCACTAGACCAAGCTATACATACCAATCATACCAGCATCCGGAATAAAAGCGAAGATCCCACCGCCGATTTCAGCAATGGACTGTAACAGTGATGAGCGGAGGTAGTACCCAAAGCCGAATGTATGGATCTGTGGTAAGGTTCCTGTTAAGCTATAGTGGTCCAATAGAGTCTGGCGTAATTTGGGAACATATCCTTGGGCAGGACACATATGGTTGGGAGCACCTGGGGCGAATAATTCGAATAATTAGTTTCCGCGAGCAGGACGAAAGTAAAAAGAGAGGGGTACGCACCATCCGTCAAGACAAGAAGTGACTGTATCTTCCCTTGGGCAGGATTCGTGGTGAGGACGTTGAGGCCTTTTTTTATCCCATGCCATAAGTTGGTTGAGCTCTTGCCGTACAGCTTGTCAATGGCGCTTAACACAGTTGATTTATTCTCTTTATTCATGTAATCAAGCTCAAAAGCAACCTATATGAAAGTAGATAGTTAGCACTAGCTGAACTTACTGGAGAAGATTCTATTGTCCTTACATTAACCTCCGTGCAAAAAGTAACCACTGCAAGCCTGTCCTTTTCATTGAGTGTTTCGATGATTGTCTTGGCGGCATGCTTCGTCAAGTCCAAGATGCTCAGACCAGTGTCCTCGCCGCCTCTCTCACCAGTTGGTATAGGAGCTGCGGAATTCATACTCCCAGAAATGTCAATCACAAGAACGATGTCGCAAGGAACATGTGGGACATCGTTCTCTGGCTTGAGAGGAGGCTGGATGGAGACGATCATAGAATCCTTGTTGGGAATGGAGTGTATGCTCAGTATCGGCTCTTGCGTCAGATTCTCTTCCATAGTGACCGTGCTAGCGCTAGCAGGCCGAAAAGGAATCTGCTTGCCGTCGATAATCTCAAACCCATCATCACTAGAACTAGTAGCCATATTGTCTACTAGTTAGTTATAATTGAACAGAGAAATTGAGTAACGAAGAGTTGTTATGAGGAAAAATGGGGGGTTTTGCGACATTCAGTAAATATCACACCCATTCCGCAAGATTTCCCGCGTTTTATAGGCAGCAACGCCAACACGGGAGAGGGGTAGAGAGTCATCCATTTTCAGCCTCCGCTTGGGCTCCTCCTTCGCGAGGCTGAAAGAGGGCGGGCTGAGCCGCATAGGCAGTGGCTGTGGCTGAATGAGGCTATTTCAAGGCGATCGTATTAACGACCAGACTAACTAGTTAGCCGCTCGCCCCGTTTACCCGTGTCAAGCTTGAGCAAACGCCCCTTGCCAACTCCAACGTCCTTCAGTGTGTTGTCCTTTCGTCTTGTCCTCTTCTTCTTCTTTTATACCCGTCGAGGAAGAAGGGAAGTTGAAAAAGGCTCAGCACGTGATCCCAAATGCACGGGCCATTTCTCCAGAAAATAGACGAATCTGGTTAGTGCAATCTTTTCCTCCCCTTTTTGACCATGTCTGGCGAAAACGCGTATCAACAAGCGATCTTGTTGGATCATATCTGGAAAATAGACGGAGAGATTTATGTACTATTGCGGGATCCTCGGAGGCCGAAATGCTGCACTCCGAGCTCATACCCCTAACTACCCTCCTGGTTTGGGACACGAGAAAGAAAGATATATATTTTGGCCTCAGCTATTCAGCACGTTAGATATTTCCAACTGGAAACTATCCGATGTCTCATCATATACTATGATGTGTCTGGGCACATATTCCGGTTACAATTGACACTACCTTCTCAGTGATGCCCATCAATTCTTTTTCCCACTTTTACATTCTGGATTTATGGTACCCTTCATCACAAATAACGACTCATTTCACTAACCCTTTACTTATGATCTCGTCTGGCTCCAGCTTTGATCTTCTGAGGCTTTTAGTAACTTTACTTCTGCCTTGGGGAGTCTGGATTATGTTAACGGCCACCAAACGCATTGTTCAGAATATCTGGTCACCTATTCCAGGGCCGAACCTTGCCAAGTTCAGCAATTTATGGATCCAGTATAATGTTCTGCGAGGTTCGTGTTATTCACTTTCATAAGTTAAACCACCCTTTTCTTTCCAATTACTGATCACCAAAGTTGTAGACTCCGGTCGGGTTTGGGAGACTATCCATAAATTACACCTAAAATACGGGCCCGTTGTCAGGATAGCGCCAAATAGTGTATCTGTTTGTCATCCAGATGCGTTGCGAACAATTTACCATGGCCCACGCGGGTTGAATGGGGGTAACTTACTGTCAACTCTGCGCCAATATAACTCCGAAAACCTAGTCAGCACACTCAATAGTGATCTTCACTTTTCTCGACGAAGACATGTTTTCAGCTTGTATTCTGCTCCTGTTGTCGCAGGGTCAGCCTACCAAACGATTTTCAGAACATACATTGACAAATTTATGGAAAGGGTTGAGAATGAAGCCTCTAGCTCACCGTCTAGGGTGACAAACGGGTTAGAATGGATAATATGGCTCACTGGTGATATCATGATTCGCTTGGTGTATGGGAATGAGCATACCGTTAGACTCCTGGCAGACAAAGGGTCGAGAGACACAATGTCCGAACTTGTTCCTAAAACAAGTGCATCTAACACTACCGTATTAGAGGCAATAGCAACGTTATACCCAAGTCAGTACATTCCCACAGTCTAATTCTTTCTGCCTTATTTTGACACTTACCTCGCCAGGGGCTATTTCACGAATTCGCGCTTTTTTTCCCGAGAAATCAGCGATGGCAGAATTCGGAATGAAACAGGTAGAGGCCGCTCTATCGAACCAAGCCAAACAAGAGGCAAGTGAAACAAATGACTCGCCCACCACACATCTTAGTCGTCTTGTGGGACTTTTCCATAGCGAAGGACCTAGTCCTGAAATACCGGACAAAAGATATATTGCTAGCGATTGTTTGGATCATTTCATGGCTGGTAAGGCCCCGAGGAAATACTCATACAAGTTTCTTGATAGGCCATTTAAACAATACTTAAACGTGGCATCATACATAGGTACTCGGACGACGAACGATCTTCTTGGTGCTGTGCTTTGGCGGCTCTCCCTCCCTGAAAATGAAGCTAGTCAAGAAAAACTCCGTCAGGAGCTTCATGAGGCGGGTATCAAGCCCGGGGAACATCCAGACCTCTCGACCCTGCAAAAGCTTCCGTACTTGAACTGTATCCTTAAAGAGACACTACGCACAGATCCACCAATTCCGATACAGCTGCCAAGAGTAGTGAAAGACAATGAAGCCCTAACTGTGATGGGCTTCAAGATAGAACCGGGAGTATGCCATTATAATTCCATTAATACTCACGGTCTCTCAAACACAGCTAACATGGACGCTCTACAGACCAACATCGCATCTCAATCGTACACTCTTCACCAAGACCCTAACCCGTACCCAGACCCCGAGAAGTGGAAGCCAGAGAGATGGGAAATCTCCCCAAAATCCGACGAATACCGTCAGATGCAGCGTTCATTTTGGCCTTTCGGCTCTGGAGCGAGGATGTGTACTGGAATGAAGTAAGTTACTGCCGATCGACTTCCTTTCCTGGTAGACATCGAATACTAACCAATGTCTTTAAATGGACAGTGTTGCTTGGGCTATGAGTCGATCGATCATTGCCAGAATTTTTAGCACATACAGTGTATCATTGGATGATGTATGGCTAGATGAGGATGGTATCCTGCTTCCACCCGGGAAAAGGAAGGACCTGTACCCTTCACTACCTAACCAACCGCTCAGGTTTAAGAAGATCTGAGCTGGAAAAGAGACTTAAAATAATGCCAAGCTGAAATCCTAGGATCTGTAGTTTAGGAACTTTATCTCCACACAATATAGAGCCTCCTCTCTCATCGAATGTTGCAGTCTTCCTTTATTTTGTAGTAAGTGGAAACATTCAACCTCGAGAGCCATACAGAGAGTAATGATGAGCCTAAGATTGTAAATGGTGCTTATCTTACACTTCGGATAGCCCTAATAGGTCTATATACACATGTCTATCTGATTTCAATAAATAGCCAAATATAATAGAACACCGGAAATGCCCAAATAAAACATGTGAAGAGCAGGATGCAATGAATGGTCATGAAACTATCAAGTATCTGGTCTGCTCACTGGTATGGAGATTATTTATCCTAATAATCCCAGGGTGATTTGCTTTCGCTCTTCACTCATATACGAGTATAAATCATGAAGTCCAGTGGAAGAGTAGTCGCCACCAATGCTAAGACGAAGAATTTTGCTGGAATAGGAAATAAACACCTTTTCAAGGCCGGAGATGGTGGTGGGAGCGTCGTTTCGTCGGCCTCAGGTTGGGAGGAGGGAATGCACTTAACTCTGGGGTTACAGGAGATGCATCCTCGCTATCACCAATGTTTCCTATCAATTTGCCCTTGACTCTTTGATCGACCTACAGAGCGGAAGAGAATGTTAGGGATTCCGTTCGAATATGAAAGAGAAGCAAGGGTAAGCAAAGAGGACATACCTTATCAAGCTCATAGTTCTTCATGAGCAAGCTCAAAGGGATCAAAGGTATGCAAACGCAAAGGGCGATAGTCAAAAGAATCTGCATAGTTTCTTCATAAGAGCGAATAATGGCATCCCTAGTTGGCGAGCCCATTGGGTATGATAGGGCTTTGGTCAACTTTCCAAAGATTTCAGTAGCTTCTCCCTTTGTTTCATCTGGGAGATATTTCACTAGTTTATGTGGTAAATAACTAGTCCAGATGGCACCTGATACAGCAGACCCCACAGCTCCGCCCATTTCGAGGGCAGTGAGAAACATAGCAGTAGCTGCAGCTACCTGTTGGTGATTTGCTGAAGCTTGTACACCGAGTTGAACGGGGACATTAACGAGTCCACCACCTAGACCAATAATGGATTGGACGACAAGTATTTGTAGTGTGGACTTTCCAGACTTGTGAGTGAGCAGCATCAAGGCCAGTCCGAGGATGTAAACGACACAGCCGAAAGTAACAAACGGACGGTATCGTTTTGAGTATTTAATCATGAAGGAGACGGCGAGGGCTGCAATTGTGGACATGAAAGAGAAGGTTTGGGTGATTCTCCCCGCGATGACAACAGGTTTTCCTTGCACCACTTGCAGGTAAGAGTAGAAATAAGGCTGAACAGAGAAATAAAAAGCCACTATTATTGGTAAAGAGTGTTAGTAAGTTCTAAACCAGAATAGAGGTCATGGTGTGAAGGGGAGCCATACTAAAGTAGAAGAAAGCCAATGCACATCCAGCAAGGGCTGATCTCTGGCGGAGGAGGCCCAATGATAGCAAGGGGTGCGGTGCAAGGCGTTTGGATGTCTCCCAGAACGGATATGCTATCAAGCATACGCCTCCAATAACAATCATGGCAATGATACCTCCGTTCCGCCAGGTATCCTTTGCATGGGCAGCCAAAGTCAGGGGGACAAGAATCAAGGTCACCGCCGCAGAAAGTAAAATCAGACCAAATACATCCAACTCAAACCATGCGCTGCGAAGCACCTTCTTCAAGCCTTTACCCTTCCATGGTTTGGACTTTAGCAGGTTCAATTTCTGGGCCTTCCTCTGGTTGATGTATAATGATAAAGCCAAGGGGAGGAATGCCGACGGCAGAAGTACAGCCCACATGCCATATCCCCACCTCCAATTAAGTTGCTTGAGCACCCAAGATGCAATCATCGGTCCGAGCCAAACGGTAAATAAAAAGGGTATATCCGGAAGATTAGCAAATATTGCTCGGTTCAGCAGGTTACTACTATCTGCAATGAAAACTTGCTGTAATATCTGCAGTCCAGTAGATCCTGCAGAGTAAAATATCTGGGCAGAGGCATAGGTCTCAACGTTTTGTGAAGCAGCCATCTGTATGTACCCAAGAACATAGATAAAAACAGCGATACAGAATGCCTCAAAGCGACCAAAGACATCTGCAAATTTGGCCATGGGTGGTTTTATGACAGCTATAGAGGCCCAGTTAGCGGTTGATGGTTTCAAGGAAAGATAAGGTACTAACCATTAACCACATTTTGTATAACCAGGACTGTTGAAATGAGGGAGTGTTTGCTAAAGGAGCTTGTAGCATAGGCAGTTAGGGAGGCCACTGTTTGGACCTCAAGGGAGGTGCAGAACGCCATAAGCATAATCCTATAATATGCATACACTGTTAGCTGGGGATGATTCTTGTGTCACAATTTTAAACTGGAGTAAGCCACCTACCCAAGATATGCAATTACTAAAGACCTCTGTGTCCATGTCTTGCTGATAGCTTCTATCTTGCGGACGCCATCCTGTACTTCACTATCCAATGACGATGGATAAGGACTGATATGCAGATGTTCATCTACCCCCTCGGCGTCATCCGTATCCTGTAGCAGCCGGTCTGCCTCCGCGGTGTCGTCCATCCTATCGTCTGGCTCGCAGCTACCATAGGACGGAACTGTTCCGGTATATAATCCCATCACTAGCGAAGGAATGCGGAGAGAGACAAAAGGACGAGAGAGAGAGAGAGATGGAGGGACGGAGAGAGGCGGACGAAGGGAGAAGAATGAGGTAGAAGTCGTTAACCGTAATCACGAAGTACCGCTCGGTTCGTTCGAAAACATCCGACCGTGCTCGCCGACTTGTTCAAAAGAGGAGAGGTGTCGTGTGGGTGCAAGTGTAGAGGATATATAAAAGCTACCCATCTATGTATCCCGTGGGTCAAGGGGAGGTCACCCCCTTTGCTCCTCCGGATGCAAAACTAAATAAATACCTGCGCACTTGAGTCAGATATTAGGCTGCAACCAGCAAGGTCCTAACGGCTTACCCCGTACGGAGTATATTTATGCAGCTGGTTCAGGAAGAATGCCCGGCACACGATTTCGAACAGGGACGCAGGGCGGAAATGTGTTTCATTTCCTGCACCCGGCGACAGCAAAAACTATTTATATATGACTCCGGCCGGGTGCGAGGAAAGCTGAGGCTGCACGAGCGTAGGGAGTGACAGGTACGAGGCTAAAAAATTGGTCAGATGAGGCTTGCAGGCGTCTCCGCAAATCAGACGCTGGCTGGACAGATCGGCCCTTCACGTTTTCAGCAACAGGACTCGTGGCGGGCGTGAGTCGGTCGAGCATCGAGCGGCGGACAGGTCTTTTTCTGTTTGCGGTAGTCGGCGCATGCGCAGCAGAGGAGCGTCGCTGGCATGAAGACAGAAGCTCGCCAGACTGAGATGCGCCCTTTCGCAGGGAAGAAAAGGAAGCCCCCATACGAAGTATCTGGAGTTTTTGCGGACGAACTAGCGACGGCTTTGCCTCCCGCCACGCAGACAGAAGATGATCTGATATGATAAGATTAGGCCGCAAGGGTGGGGAGGACCATGCATGCTTAGGTCAGCATTTAACGGCGTGCGATTGGTTACACTGCCACCGTTATGCCTGTTACAGTTTAGCGTGCTGCGGAATACGGTCTTGGCAGACACGTAGCGGCTAAGCCCAAAGAGGAAGTCATCGGCTCTGATCGGATCTGATAGCAAAAAGGCCCGTTTAGTTCCGATCCGAGGCCAACGTCGAATAACAAAACACAAACAGAGAGCGCGAGAAAGAGAGAGTGATTGCAGATGTGACACTGATACTGATACTGATACTGATACTGATACTGATACTGATACTGATACTGATACTAATACCAAGATGGTGTGATGAGCTAGATGTCGAGCTGGGAGAAAGACACGCAGAGATCGCCCAGCTCGGGCGCCGACGACGGGCGGCAGACGTACACGCCGACCCAGCACTCGAGCTGTTCCTCGTCCTCGAACAGCCAGGTCACCTCCCTCATCGGCGTCCTCGCACCGTCCTTGCCAACTGCGTACACCCACAGCGTCTGATCCCTTGCCCGTCGCTCCATCTCGATCGTCACGCCAACCCCGTCACCCTCATCATCGACAGCGCTCTGTCCGGCCGGCGGCAGAGGAGATAGGCTCCAGTCCGCCCATCGGTCTCTTGCAACTGTACTGCACCGCGGCACGCCCTCGACGAACTCGATGCCCGCCTTGATCCACTTTCTGTCGTTGTCGGGGTTATGTCCGCCACCACGCCGGTTGAGAGCAAGAATCAGGCCTCCTTGGTCGTAGAGGGTCGTCCACTTGGCTGAGACTCGCACGCGAGCCTTCTGGAAAGACGCGAGAGGCATCGTCCTGTAGAGAATTGGGGCATTGAAGCGGTGGGTCGAGGGCGGTTTGGCCCAGATGTCGGTGGACGGCCGGGCTTTGATGGTGAAGCTGCTGGCCAGCTCCTCGCGCGAGGGAACCGGCTGATCGGAGTTCTGGAACTGCCAGCCTGACATCATAGCCTGCTTGGACGATTCAGAGCACGTCATGGCTTTTTTCCGTATGCTAGAATAGAGTGTAGGAGGAGGCTGTTGCGGACGTCTCAATGCTTCAATCGTAGATCCGGAGCCCAGCCTGTCGTAGATATAGTGGTTCAACCCCGCAAGCCGCCCTTCGTCCCCCACCTCGAGAAGCCCACACAAACATCCAACACATACGGAGGACAACTATACGAGCACACGAGGGATCCAGACTCGGGTCTGCATGTCTGGTCGAAGACGGCTACACAGGATCGGGTGCTAGACAATTATTAGCCAAAGGAGGGAAAAAAAAAAAAAAAAAAAAACAAGGCCAGGACTGGGCGAATTCCTGCTGGGGGAGATGGATCAGTGCCAGGGAACGGGCAGGTCACGGCGGCGGCCTCATTGGCCGGGGGATCTCGAAGCTGCTGGCGAGTTGGGTCTGCAGGGCGGCCGGATGGACTCCGGGCTCTGGGGACTGGAGAAGACAAGGCGAGGAGCCAATCCCGGCGTTGCTGGGCGAGAGACCAGGGGGACGATCAAATGGCAGCAGAGACAGCAGAGACAGCAATCATCTACAAAGACCAAAGGCCGGATATCTGGTGTGCTTACTTCGAGTGCCCGGGATTTGACATGGTTGACTCGGAGAAATAGTTTCACGATCTCTCCCTTTATTTAAGGAAAACAGCACAGCGGAAGGGATGGGCAGTCTAGTCTATATGGTGTTTTAATATACGAATACTCTCTCCTTCCCCCGGGGTCGATGAGTGTACTTACGAAGCCGTCATATAGGCTCGGTGTCAGCAGCAGCTAGTTAGTAGTGTTAACCGGCACATCTTTTACCTCTTTTCGTACATACTTATATTGCGACGTGTGCCCAGAGTAGAGAGGATTCTTCCCCCCCCGGCCGCCGTTGAGCAGGGGGAACGGTGATTAGCAGCCATTGCGGCGCAGAGAGAGCGAAAGGAGAGAACGGCTGGAAAACCAACTGGCCGGGATAATTAACCGTTGTGCTTATATATAAGTAGCCGTCAGGCCACGAGCCCCATGGGTAAGTTCGCAGACATGGTTGTCAGTATGTACCCAGTTAAGTATCAGCTTACTCCTGGCATCCCGGGCGCATCCCAGGTTTTTCTCCAGTAAGAGAAACATGTTCCAGCTCGCGGGCTCGATACGCAAGGAGTAAGTTGACGTCCAAAGGGGGAAGAGAGGGGGGCCACACTACCCAAGCGGCACACTCTGAGCAGGAGAGGAAAGAGGAAACACGGGGTAGAGACACGTCGGTTTGGATGTCGCTCAGCTGAGCGATGGCCTGATAGCTATCCCTCCCTCCCTGAAGTCTCCTTAGCTCCCATGCCGTAGGACGAGATGGGAAGCAAGAAAAGACGGGGGCAGGGAAGTGCCAAAAGGGGCTTGCAAGCTTGTCTGCTTTTGCTGTGGAACGCGGGTCCTATCACATCTGAGCCAGCATGTGCTGACCGAGATATTCCGTGCTGTTCCAGCTGTCACTGCTGGATGGATGGATGCCTGACCTGTGCCTGTCGAGATGTCGTCCTTTCCAGTGAGAGTGACCAGCAGGGCGACCAGTAGGGACGTCTGTCTGCAATCTTCCGTAGAGCTGTAGAGCTGTAGAGCTGCAGAGCTGTAGAGCTGTGTCCCCGGGGAACAAGCAACCCTGAAAGCCTCAAAATCCGATCTGTCATGCAATAAAGGGCACAGTTATTGCCTATTTATTATTATTATTATCATTCCTGCTGCCCTTGATAGACACACATAGCAACATCCCCGGAGCTTGCTTTTTCTCGTGGCGCGGTCTGCAGCCTGTCACTCTTGAGCTTAACAACGCTTCTCTGTCGCTTGTCTGTCCGAGGCCCTCGTCGTTGCCGCAACGTCCAACCGGTGCTGAGCTGTCAATCGCCGTCGCCTGAGGGACGTCAGGTCGCAAGCCGCGTCGCTGTCTGCACCGTCTCGTCGCCGTGGCAGTCCAACAACAGCAACGACAACACTGCCTGCGATAGAGAGCAACAGGCATCAGAGGCATCAGAGGCATCAGAGTTGACGCCGTCGTGGGTCATTGCTTCGTCCCGCCCTTCACCCTAATAACTACCGTCCTTCACCCGTCGGCTTCGTCTCCCCCGGTGGCCCCCTTCAAGGCGCATCGTCACTTAATTTAACATCACGGCGTCCCAAAAGGGCCAGTCGAGCCAGCCGTCGTCGCCTGGAGGCCGTAGACCGTCAACGAGAGAGGGGCCGTCCGTCTAAGCCCGCGGGTTGTTGACTGGCCCAGCTCCAGTTTTTAGTCAACTTAAGCAGCCAAAAAGAGTCGCAAAAAGGACGAGGAAGAAGAAGAGGAAGAAGAAGAAGAAGAAAAAAAAAAAAAAAAAAAAAAAAAAAGCCCCGAACCCTTTTTGCAACATCATCAATCATAAACTAACCTCAGACCTCAAACTCGCCTCACTGCACTGCTTGCTCGCTGTCTGCTGTCTCTCGTCCGCGGCCAGCTCATACACTCTGCCTTCTCTCTCTCTCTCTTGCTCTCTCTCTCTCTCTCGCTCTCTCTCGCTGTCTGTCTGTCTGTCTCCTTCGTCGCCCAAGCTCGCAGCTCGCAGCTCGCCTCTTCACTCTCACTCTCACTCTCACTCTCCTCCTCCCTCAGTCACCTCTTGTCCCGCCACTGACCGTCCAGAGTCATCCGGCCTTGCTCCTTGGTCACTCTCCAGACGTTGCCTCACGTTGAAACCAGGCCTCCAGACGCCGTGTGTCCAATTCACTTCCTGCTCGGCGACCTCAACCTCCCTCGCCTCGTCCGCCTTTTCTCCTCTTCCTCTTCCTCTCCTCCTCTCCTCCCTTTCTCCCACCAACACACCATCCCTCGCACACCGCAAGTTGTCTCGACGTCCCAAGGGTCTTCTTCAGCTTCGTCCTCTCGTCCTCTCGCCTCTCTCTCGACTCCAGAACAAAAAAGCAAAGAGAGACCCCAAGTGTAGCTCAACATGGTTGTTGCTACTATCAAGTAAGTCCTCGCGGCCTCCCCTACAGCTTTTTGGTTGACGTTGAGATAAGCATCGTTTCTCGCGTGGAGAAATAAGCATAAGCACGCTTTATACAAAGATATAAACATATTCACAAGCACAAGCACAAGCACGAGCATAAGACTAACGCCTCCTGCTTCTCTCTTACTAGGTGTGTTGTCGTTGGTGACGGTGCCGTTGGCAAGACCTGCCTGTTGATCTCATACACCACCAACAAGTTCCCCTCTGAATATGTCCCAACTGTCTTTGATAACTATGCTGTGACAGTGATGTAAGTCGCATTGCCTCCCTCTTGTCTTGTGCTGCTTTATACATGCAAAACTCACGCGTTTTTGTGGCTGCCTGTCTCTTCTCTGGTTGTCATTTTTCACCGCACGCTGGCTAACTCTTGCTGCTAGGATTGGAGATGAGCCATACACGCTGGGACTCTTTGATACCGCCGGTCAGGAGGATTATGACCGTCTACGCCCCCTCTCATACCCGCAAACCGACGTCTTCCTCGTCTGCTTCTCGGTCACCTCGCCAGCTTCCTTTGAGAACGTACGCGAGAAATGGTTCCCCGAGGTCCGCCACCACTGTCCAGGCGTCCCTTGTCTCATCGTCGGGACCCAGACGGATTTAAGAGACGACCAGACCATCCGGGATAAGCTAAGCAAGCAGCGAATGCAGCCAGTGCGCAAGGAGGACGGTGACCGCATGGCCAAGGAGCTCGGAGCTGTCAAATACGTCGAGTGCTCTGCCCTGACCCAGTACAAGCTCAAGGACGTCTTTGACGAGGTCAGTCAAAGATTCTCTTTTATTTATTTATTTTATACCTTTTCATCTTGCTAACTCGATCAATCTAGGCCATCGTTGCTGCTTTAGAGCCCAGTCCTCCAAAGAAATCCAGCCGCTGTCTACTCTTGTAGACTCACCCAGCCAGCACAGAGAGAAGGTTACTGTGCCATCTGACATTTGATACATCGGTTACAATCTCGCGGACAATGGGTGTTGATCGGGCTCTTGCGTATTTATCCGGACAATTCGCTATTTAGATGCTCTTAAACTGGTATCTCACGATGCTTTCCCTCCCCCCTCCCCTCCCCTACCTCTCTCTCTCCCTTCCTCATCTTTTTTCCTCTCTCTCTCTCTCTCTTTCTTTGAACATCCTCACACCCAGAGTTACATGACAATCACATAATGGGGGTTATGGGCGGCGTGCTAAGGAAAATTTGAATCGGATGAATCCGTTTTTTTTTTTTATGACTGTGCTTTTTTTAATCCTACTCTTTTTCTTTTGTTTTTGCTTTGTTTCCCCCCTCTTTATTCCTCGCCTCTTATCAACCCGTCTGCCTGTCTTTGTTATCTGATTTGCAATAACCCTGGCTCTATTTTCCCGTCCTTTTTTTCTCCCCCTTTCGCATGCGGCTTGTCTGTCCCCTGCTTTTTACTTATCCCCTCGAAATCCGAAATGCATGCTATGCTGGTCTGGGAGGGAACCTTCACGACTGAGAAAGGTGACACGCCTGCCCTCCCCCCTTCTGGTCTTGATCCTTGATCTGTTTTACTATTCCCCCTTTTTTATTAATCCAAGATGACAGAAACTCGCTGGGCCAAATACAACAAGTGTTTTCTCTCTCCCCTCCCCGATTCCCTTGTGTTTTGTTCCTCCGCTTTTCCTCTCTGTTTGCCTGCCCTGTCGATTTCCCGTCTCGTACCTCTTATGACGTTTAGATTTTATGACGCGCAGATGCCTTGAATGAAAAAGTGTTCGAAAAAAAAAAAAATTCTAATCCCTCCTAATATAAAAAATATTACTTGTAATGTGAAAGGTCAGGTTGCCCATATACCACCCACCAGCTTCAAGCTCAAGGCAAGTGAGATTGACTATTTACAAAAAAGTTATGATGGATCGCCGTGTATAGTCGAACCTGTCCGTTCTATAAAGCACGACTCACATCAGACAAATAACATAGTTTAATGAATCCATCAAAGCTCGTCTTTTCGGGCTTCTGAGCCTGCTGCGCCCTCTTGATATGACTCCATCACACCCTCCTTGACGGACTTGTTGCCCTTTCTACCAAACCAGCCCCCGACTGTGCCTGGATCTTCAACTCCGAGTTTCACCATGCTTGCAATGATCTCGTTGACTACATGCGCAGCCGCAAGAGCAGTCCCTCCCGCACGATGATCATAGCTGGGCGAGACCTCCACCACATCGGCCCCAACCACATTCAGCTTCTCCAGCCCGCGGAGGATCCTAGCAAGCTCCCTGGACGTCCAGCCACCTGACTCCGGCGTGCCTGTTCCAGGCGCAATGCTGGGGTCAAGAACATCGATATCCAAACTGATGTAGACAGGCTGGTCTGGGTCGAGACCGACTCGCGAGACAATCGCATCGACCACCCCCTGAGTGCCAATGTCATCGACATCATCCGCGTGGATGCGCATGAACCCTTTCTCTACCCCGGTACGGTAATCTCTATCATCAGATCCGCCGAGATAGGATCGCAGCCCCGCGTGGGCAGACGTGGTGTTTGAAATCAGCCCTTCCTGGCCCGCATGGAACAGCCAGGTTCCGTGGTTGAGACCATCAACGTCTGGCTTCCAGTACCCGTCGTAACGGGAGGATTCCCACGTGTCCTGGTGCGCATCGAAGTGGATGACGGTGATCGGCTTTTTATAGATCTGGTTCAGCGCTCGCAGCGCCGGCAGGATGATGCTGTGGTCTCCTCCAAGAGTGACGAGCTTGGGCTTTCCGTCTGATATCCTCGCTTGTCTCTTGGGCTTGTCGCCCTTCTCTTGCGGCTGGTAGGCAGCCTTCCTCGTGCCGAGTTCTAGGAAGGCTTCGAACATTTGCTTTTCTGCTATCCTATTGTCCATCTGCGTGATGGGGATGTTTCCGCAGTCTATGACTTTGGCCCAGTCCAAGTAAGGGTTGATACCAGCTCGGACATTGTATGAACGGGCTGCGACCTGGCGGCCGCTGGCCTCACGGATTGCCCGAGGCCCAAACCGTGCTCCGGGCCGGTATGAAGTCGCTGTGTCGAACGGCGCTCCAATGATGGCAATGTCGTAAAGCTCATTTGGCTTTGTCAGGCATGGGACATGCTTAAGTCCACCAAAGCTGCCCATGGTCGCAAATGCAGACTGCCTCGGTTGTTATCATAGGGAATACGTATAGCATACAAGCAATCCTTCAGGCAGCAGAAGATACTATGTACTCACCAACTCCGGTGCCCATTTATGCTCTAGTTCCTCCTGGCTCAGCGGTATCTGTTCCTCGCCATGGCGACTATGACAGTCCACCACTTGAGCGCTGAGTATGGCTCCAGCCACAGCAAGCGTCTTGTATTTCAAGTACACCATCGTGCCTAGCTACCCCCCTTTGTGTATAGCACGGGATTGAAAGCCGACAGAAAAGTCGGTGGGATCTGGACGGGATATATAAATTCTACTCTGCAGGTGCTTCGGATACAGTTAATCATCACCTGATATAAATTTGTAACTCAGGCTCCTAGGTATAACCATAACATTAAGTGGGTTTATTCTCCATAATGTCCGGCTAATAATGACTTGGTAGTTATCGGGCGAGCGAGTTGTAGCGCTGCGGAAGACTCCATAACTAGTTAACTGTTCTAAAAATCTTAGTTACAGCGAGAAAGCCGACTGCTAGTACCGACATAACGGCAGGGAGCAGAAGTTCATAATCCTTGCCTCGCACTCTTTCCTCAGATCTATACATTCTACCACCAATATCGATTACTCCCTGCGTGTTTATTCGCCAGTTACCTGGTGGACTTCGCTCGAGCCTTCACTAAATCTGGAGAATCAATATTCCGATACTTATCAAGCTGCAGCCCTGGGTTTCAAACTTCGAGTTTCATGCATCAAGAGATAGCATGTTAAAATAGAGTAAGGATAAGTCGAGACTGGGATATACCACTATTGTTGCTTGTTAGACTTGAAAGGGAGCCGTCCATTTTGCGGACACTATACAAGGGGTGGAATGCGCCGTGTTGTTGTTACTGGATTGGGTGCTGTAACTCCCCTTGGAGTAGGTATGTTGCATCCCTAACATGCACTTTTTTTTTTTTAATCCACAGTGACTAAAAATGTTTCTTAGGAATAAGACATACATGGAAAAGGCTGCTAGACGGTCACAGTGGAATTATTTCTATAAAAGACAGAGATTCAAGATTTGCTGAGCAGCCATGCCAGGTTGCGGGTGTTGTTCCTAAGGGATCTAAGACCCAAGGAGGATGGGATGCCTCTGAATGGCTGACCCGAGATGTAAGACTATACTCTGAATATGCAAATACCCAGATATCCTTTCTAATAGATATGGTAGGAGCAACGAAAAATGGCGCTATATTCCCAGTACGCCCTGGCTGCTACTCAAGAAGCACTCGAAGATGCAAACTGGATGCCTACTACGGACGAGTCCAAAGATATGACGGTTAGTAGATACCAGGCCTACAAATATTCAGCTAACATGTCTCTAACCCGTTAATAAATCAATAGGGAGTGTGCCTGGGCTCTGGGATTGGGAACTTTGATGAAGCATTTAATACTTCTATCGCATACAATAATGGCGTGGGTGATAGATTTTACCTCATGCAAAACATAACATTTCTCTTACTTACAACCGTGATTAGGGATATCGAAAAGTGTCACCACTTTTTGTTCCTAAGCTCCTTATTAATTTAGGTGCTGGGCATATATCGATGAAATATGGTTTCATGGTATGCATTTTGCACGTTCCCAGTCCAATATTTATCTTATTTCCTGCGTAATTTATGCATCTTTGCTAACATTACTAGGGTCCCAATCATTCGGTATCAACAGCATGTACGACAGGAGCGCATTCTATTGGTGATGCTTCTCGTTTCATTGCGCATGGTGACGCTGATGTCATGGTTGCTGGAGGAGCCGAATCATGTATACACCCACTAGCTATAGGAAGCTTCGCACGGTGTCGGAGTCTTGCTACCGGCTTCAACGATAATCCAGACAGGGCATCCCGCCCATTTGACAGAGACAGGCAGGGCTTTGTCGTTGCAGAGGGTGCCGCGGTTGTTGTGCTAGAGGTACCAACTACCATTAAAGCTTCCCTGCTTATCCACAATACTTACAACTGCCTTGCAGGAACTTGAACATGCAATATCTCGAAATGCCCATATCTATGCTGAGCTTAAAGGATACGGATGCTCAGCTGACGCATACCATATCACTGCGCCACATGAGACAGGTAGAGGTGCTTTCTCTGCAATGAAGCGTGCCCTTAAAAATGCTGGAGTGCCTCCGAGTAAAATCGACTACATCAACGCCCATGGCACGTCGACTCCAATTGGGGATGCAGCCGAGAATCTGGCAATCAAGTCACTGTTTCTTGGGTCTGAAGGTAAAGCCAAAGCCTCGGAAATAAACGTAAGCAGCACAAAGGGAGCTATAGGGCACATGCTGGGTGGAGCCGGGGCAATAGAGGCTGCTTTCTCTATTCTAGCTATTGATCAGGTACAATATTCTTGCTTCTTGATTTTTGCTCCTATACCTAACATCTAGCATCTAGGGTATCCTTCCCCCTACTATCAACTTGGATAACGTAACCGACGAATTTGACTGCAATTATGTTCCCAACAATGCGCTGCAAAGGAATGTCGAAGTTGCACTCACCAATAGTTTTGGGTTTGGGGGAACAAATAGCAGTCTTTGCTTCGCCAAATATTAAAGGTGCACTTATTACCCAGCTTAGAATGTATTAATACCGTGTATAATATTTTTCGGTTGTAAGTTATCTCTTGGTCTATTAAAAGCATAATATTGTCAATTTCATTGGGCAAATAACTAGTTACTATTTACTCATCTTTGCTTTTAGTTATAGATGATAGGTTTGTACTTCAATTTACCCTCACACTTCGTAGGCTCACCCCGGTTTAACTACCATCAGTCCATGTGGTTTTGAATTTATACTGATCCTTGCGGTCCAGGTATACCACTTTGCTACTTAAGCCGGCCTCCTCCACCGCTTTCTTGAAGTCTGATAGCGGTGATAGAAAAACATCATAATCACTAATAAATAGTCAACAAATATCTATAGATTACAGGCTCTCCTTAGGGTGACTCACTCGTAATGAATGGGAATAGTCATATCTGGACAAACCAGTTTCAGTAGCTCTATTCCTTGCTTTGCATCCATTGTTACCATCAATAAGGGTATATTAGGAGACGGGATGGTTGTGCCTCCAAGGTGGATGAGCATCAAGTCTATCTTTTGGTCAGCATAGATTTTCGGGATCTCCTTTAACTCATCACACATCAAGGTGTCTCCCGAGATGTAGATTCTATCACATACTGCGTTAGCTACATTATTTATTGACTCTTTGTGGAGCTACTCTACCTGTAGTTCGTCTCAAAATCTCCCTCCACGTGGTGGTACTGAGTTGTGTGGCCTAATTCGACCATCCATCCATTTGTTGGCGGAACCTAAGAGAGTATATTTAGACACCTGCTGGTAGACAATATCCAGCAATGGAGGTCATACCGCCTTTAAAATATCATTGGCAGTGGACAACGGGCCAGGTGGGACATGCTTCCCCGGCATAGCAGTCACCTTGATTGCTGGCTCTTTTTTGCTGGTTGCCTCCTTGGATTTTATTTCGACCAACATGCTCTGATAGGTATCCAGGGCCTCTACTTTGGTAAAGGAGTCGTCCCCCTTTGATTCGAGGCAGCCCTTAGCATGAGGTGTTGTTATAATGGGTATATCACGGGTAAGACAACCTTCCACTTTTTGGTCAAAATGGTCCCTTGTTCAAAGTGATAATATCAGCATAGACATCCTCAAGAAAGCATCATAGGCTTCAGAGTGACACCATACGCATGGTAGTGTGAAAGAAGAATGAAATGAACAGGTGGTATATCGTGGAGATCGACCGCAGGATTCGTGAGTCGCGTTCCCGTAACCTGGTGTCCACAAGTCAGGAACACCCTTCATAGAGGGTTATAGGGTAGCTCACCCCTGGGCCAAGATGAACATGATCTCCAGCGTGTAAGAAGTTTGGCTATGAGGTCAATCAGTATAAGATATAAATAGGCGGTTCGCTGGTTGGCAATACGTCGGTCATGATCCTTATATTTGCCCATTCTCTGGCAGACGGTTATCAGCTCGGCCATGCTGCTAGAGGACTTAAGGGGCCCCGTACATGAACGTTGTTGCTGTCCCTACAAAGAAGATGTTTCCATCTTCTTCTCCAGAGCTCTTTGGATGAACTTTCGTCTCATTTGCTTCGCCTAGCTTTGAGGGATGTTTGGAGGGATGATCTCGAGTAGGCTCCCCCGGGTCCTCCGCGTCAACGACGATACGACGCATTCTGTAGTATTTTGGAGATATTTATGTCCGAAGATACTAGAGGTAATAGTGCCACAGCTCTATTGTCTCTTCTCGATGACCATCTCTATGGAGGCGAAGTGAGCATAGAGCTTGAGTAACGCCCAGGTCCCTCATACGTCATAGGAAGGATAAACTTCATCCTGTTTATGACTTCCCATTTCCAGTATGTTTGCAGGAGGGTATTCAAGAACTTGTTGGTTCAGGGTCGTATTCCAGAACATTAAGGGCATCTTCCGACGCTGTTTCTAGTAGATGTGTTGATTCGTGCCTGATTCCAGCTTGATTGAGCGAAGAACCCCTATAGTTTCAAGGCGCCCGGCCAACGAGTCAACGCACATCTCGAGGCTCATTAACCCGCCTGATAGTTACGGAGGTAACCATCTATCATCAGCCTCTCCATGAAGACCAAGAGGGCGACCCCCCTTTTGCTCAGCCTCGCGTGAAGCTTGATGGTGATAAGCACTCGAAGGCTGAGCCAAGTTCGCTCCTTCAAAACTTTGTCCATCTCCCGGAACATCGTTGCCGACTGATCTTCCATAGTTGCATAGCTCAAGAACGCGCGTTGTATGCCGTCAGGTCTCCATCTTCTCCATCTTGCAGTCTGTTGTTCTGCTTTCATGAATATCAATATTCCTGCGGCGAGAAGGATTCGATGCGCCCCAACCCGTTTTGGGCAAGCCGCACGAGAAGAGGCTTCAGCTCGAATTTTCAACTTTCAACTTCCTTGCATAAAAAAATTTCGCAGGCTTTGCAGAAGTGCAGCCTTGCAGACTGTCGGCTAAAGGTCGCGAGTCAATTGGATAATTACCTACCGTGCATTGTGACTATGTGCCTAGGCGAGTCATGCAGCCAGGCGCTCTCCCTCATGGCTGTGGTCCACGACAGCTGAAGACTCGCCCGATACCCTGAAGAAGAAAAGTACACTTGTGGCCGTGCCAGTCTCCTAGCCACTCGAGGTGGATTTATAGGATCTCCGATGAACTGATACCCGGCGAAATGATGATTTTATAAACCGTCATTCTCTCCTTCAACCGTGGTATACAAATCAGCATCAGTCAGTCACTGGCCAATACCTTCTATTCTCTCTGAATATTACGATTTTTCCGGTCCATTCTATTGTGCAGGCTCCTCAGAACAAAGCCCACCATGGCAGTCGATTATAGACATGGAGTTGCAATCTTCAGCCTAATCGTCTATCTCCCTTGCTTCTTCATTGCAGTTTATATTGCACTACGACATGGCTTCGCCAAGTCAGCAGGATGGTACTTTCTCGTCGTGCTCTCCTTGGTCCGCGTTATCGGTTCATGCTTGGAGTTGGCAACCATAGCAAATCCCTCCGAAGGTCTTATTAAGGGGGCGGCGGCGTGTAAATCTACTGGAATATCCCCGTTAATCTTAGCCTGTGTCGGCCTCCTGCAAAGAGCGTATGAGCCCCCATCCGAGCGAGGGAAAGTGTCCTGCTTACTTCAAACATTTGCTAATATATAATATCCAATAGAAACAACTCTATAGTAAACAGAGGCCGGAAGGGAATTCCCCCCATCGTATTCCGGGTGGTCGGGCTCCTGGTGTTACTCGGCCTTATTCTCAGCATCGTCGGTATCAACAGCCAGGAGGATGGTGCCATGTCATACAAGCCAAACGCAAAGAGCAAAGCCGCCATCTGCGTTACTCTCGGAGTCTGGGTTATCACCGTCGGTTTAGCCTTTATTATTAACGGTAACAAGCACAACCTTCCCGCTGGAGAAAAGAGACTCCTGCTTGCAGTTGCAATCTCCCTCCCATTCATCCTTATCCGCTTGCTATACAGCTTGATCAGCGCTTTTAGCCATAGTCGCAGGTTCAGCGCTGTTTCCGGCAATGTTACCATCTACTTGGTCATGGCTGTGCTGGAAGAGATGGTCGTTGTTATCACTTGCCTTGGCGTTGGAATTACCCTACAGCCAGACGGAGTTGCAGCATACAGGGGTGAGCCTGCATCAGCCGAAGAAGAGATGAAGGTTTTCCAAGAAGCGCGTGACAATGGGTATAGACAAAGCGTTCCTGCTCCTTCTACCCGTTGAGCGTGTAAATCCACTCGTGTTTCCTTTATTACTTCAAGAAAAGGTGCATAACTATGTTGTATATACGACTTATTGGATACTTTATTCAAATAACGATAGATAGGAAATTTAATATACCACTGCATTGTCTATAGAAGAAGAGGGAAAAAAACTGTAGTTATAATATATTGATATATTGATACTTATAGATGTCGAAAGGGGTAAAAACAAGGTAAAACGCTACGCTGATAAGTGCCGCCCAACTCCTCTCTAATCTTAGCCGTCTTAGCCATCGTACAGCGGATCACTAGATCAGCATCCCACATAGAAAAAACGTACACTAAACGGCCAGAAGAGAAAAGAAAAAAGAATAATCCACCCACGCTTCTAGGCTATGTCGCTATGCCTTTGAAAACATCCATATCCATGCCTTTAAACGATGACAACTTCGAGGCCTTCTTGAGTGTATGGGAACATTGCTGCGAAGCAACATCTATGTCGCCTTGCACAATTTCAGAGTGAACAGTTTCAAGGCCCTGAAAAAGAGAAGTTGGAGCTGTCTCGGGGTGATGCTCTGGTTTAGAGTAGACAGTAATTGGCAATCGGTTGGGTTAGGCAGTCAAAAATCTCCAAGTTTCTCATGTAGCCCTTTGCCCAGGCCAGGAGATCACTTGTGTATACCGTCTGATTGAACAGAATGGACCTCGAGTATGTCGAGGCTCTTAATTCATAAAGGCCGGCCATTTCCGTTATGTCAACAGCACTGATGGAGCGGTGAACATCATGACCTTGCAATTCCGTGATGTTCGTAGATGTGTAAGAGATAATCCTACGGAATAGTGCTTCCCAGAACGAGAAGCGGAGCCAGGCTGACAATATACCAGCCCGGTATTGTGTAGCAGATGAACGGGACGGTCAGAAATGGAAAGGCATGGGGATATCTGTATGTGCACAGGGAAACTGATAAGAGGTTCCCACTCAGATGGGATATTGAGTGGCTTAACCCTGCACTTTTCCAACGCCCTGCAGGGTAAGGTACACGTCAGTGCCCCAGCCCCAAAGACTCTGGATGTCGATACCTCCGCCAAAGTACTCGGCGTATGCGCGTCCAAGGGGGAGTCCATAGCCAAGGCCGGCAATGGTGCTGGCATTGTGGCCACCACTGCCAGAAATTGCATTCAAGGCATCGACGTTCCCATTGTCACTCACCGGGAGTTCATCCGAGTTGAAGGTGCTGTAGCTATAGGACCAGATATCAGAGAGAATCTCAGGGGGGATGCCACCTCCTCGGTCCCTGATGCGAATTGTGATGCTCTGTGCAGATGACTTGAGCGGTTCGAACATCGGACCAGGCCCTAAGGGTCGTCCTTTGTGCACGCCCATACTCATCTGGAAGTCATTTTGAGAGCCTGTACCAAGGGAGTTTGGGCTTTTCTCGAGTTCAGGCACAGCCTGCTCAGTACTGTTGGTTGACGGCATGTTGGGTGCCGAGGCGATGGTTACTTCGATAGGCTCACGCTCGTTTCCGGCCTCAACTGTTGCTCGGAAGGCGTTCTTTAACAGTTCGGTGAGTATATACTCAACGTGGACGGGGATATGGGCGAATGTTGCTTCGGGCTCTCCGTTGATAACTACTCTAGGGCGGACGCCATACTTGAGCTCGCATATTTCGGCCACGAACTCCTCGCACACTTTTATCAAACGGGCAGGTTTAAGAGCCGTGTCGATTACGCCGATATAGTTAGACGGCACATTCTTGTCCCGCGAGGTCAAGAGTTCACCATTTTCCGAGAGGGAGGCATGGTGCAGTGCCAGGTGCTGCTGGGCAATCAGACGAGTGCCGATGCGTGCCCTGAGATGTTCATCTAAAAATGCAGTCACTTCGGCAGGACTGATGTATTTACGACACTCTAGAAACCCACGGGCTAGCACTGGAATTGTATTGTCGTGTGTCTGCACTAGATCCGCCATGATCTCGGTGAACTGTTTCTCTTCCTCTGCGGTTGAGATCCGGCGCTTCTGAAACGGTAGTAAGGTGGTGAACGAGTGAAGGTAGTTGTTGTAGATCTGGGAGATATGGGGGTTCGAGACGACGATGAAGGGCAGATTTCGCAGAGCCTGGATGCGGCAGGCCAGTCTGGCAGGGAGGAGAGAGAGGGTGAAGTTTGCCGATGCAAGAAGGGCGTCTCTCGTGAGCGGCGGCCGGCCATGTCTAATCCACCGTGTCAGCGTACTTTCGGTGTATTATTTCCTATCTCCCACCACTTACCGGAGCAGATCTGCCAGCGTCAAAGGCCGACGGGGACTCGTAGATAGGCGAGTGATCTCGTCGTTAGATACATCCGACGCAGAGGGCGGGTAGGACCAGCTGCTCGTCGTGATGGAGGAAAGGGAGCGCAGCGGAGTGCCACCAGCGATCAGCCGGCTCCCTGCCATGCTGCGCAGAGGGTTTGCTCGTAGGAGTGCCATGGTCAACTAGAAAGGAGCGTCAACTGCTATTCCATGCTGCGGATAGTTGGGCTCCAATGGTGAATTGATTCCTCTCGCCGGCCGACGTCCTGTCCTGTCTTGTCCTGCGCAAGGAGTGGGCGTGGTGGTCAATATAAAAATCACTGATGACGATGTTGCTGGCGGCTGCCCCGTACTTAAGCGGCACAACAGGGAGAAAAAGCAAGCCTCCTCCCAACAACAACTCCTCCCCTGGAGCGTCTCTTCTTCTTCCTATTAGTGATCAGTGCTTGATGTCTTCCTGTGCGTGGAGCCGGCACTAGTTTATCGTGTGATGCCCGCGGTGCGCCAACCAGCATCAGCTTATGACGACGGCGGAGGGCTGCGGTAGGCGTGGAGGAGTCTGCGACTGGCTGGCAGCGTCAAGCCTTCGTCTGCTCGTTTGCGATCCGGTTGGCCAGGATGTCTTCGACGGCTGCTAACTGTAATATTATTTGGCAGCAAAGATGAAGACGCCCTCCCTCTCCCTCTATCGACCGCCGCCGTGGGCCGGGGGGCGCGGCTCTCTTTTCTTTTTGCTCGGCCAAACAGACCAACCCTTCGACCGAGTTCCACGTCTTGGTTTGTCTTACAGTGTTTGATAGGGGGACGGCAGCAGGAGAAGAAAGAAAGGGCCCTTTCGACTTGACCTGACGATATAAAGGATGTCTTAAACCTCCCTGGCTGGCTTGTTACCTTGTTTGCCGGCAGGTGCAGCGTCTGACACGAAGAACCAGCAGTCCCCAGGGCTGCGAGACCCCCACGCAGCATCACAGTAGCACTCGTTGTATGTGACGGATATATCGATTATTATTATTGTTATTATTGGGGGGGTTCTACAGATCCCAGATCTGCCACCGTGTGGCCTCAAGAGGGGGCTCGGAAGGCCAACCGAGATGATAGCCATGACGTTACAACAGCAGCTCAAGCAGACCTCGATAGAAAGCGATAACTATGTACCAGATACATCAGTCAACTCGTCCTCGTCCTGGCCCTTGTCGTTCGAGGTGGCCTGTGTGAGATTATTCTCATCCCCCCTGCTACTACTCCGGGCTTAACGGGTGACGGGGGAAAGACGTAAATATCCGGCGACGTCATTGTTGGTCAGCTATTCGAAGCCCAACATCCGGAGATGCATGGCAGCAAAAGAGGCATGCGGATAGGGAAACGGAAGCCTGTCCTTCCATTCCGTAGGCATGCTGCGTATCATCTTTCAAGCCGTCCGCGATGGGGGAACGGCTGGCTTAAAAGCGTCATAGGCTGCAGCAAGGGTTCTTCAATTAAAACATTTTCAAGGATAATGTACGAGCCCTGTCAAGTGTGGGGAAACAGACATGGGAAAGAATCAGCCGAGCTTGCTGGTAACTCGTAAGATGCTGAGACGTGTCTTCTTTTTAGTCCATCAATGTAGAGGCTGTATTTATAGAGAAGATATATACAAGAAGAGGTTTAAGGCATAGGCTTCGAGCCTTGTCTTACGGTGATTCAGGAACAGCACAGCAGAGAGTCGATAGAGTGCAGGTATGAGGAAGCGGAGAGATGCTTATTCTGAGGAGAGCCGTTTTTTACTTAAAACTGGTTGATTGCATTTGCTCGAAGCTACCACATAGTGAAACATCACGTATTCCCCCTCTCAGTGGGAATCAAGTTTGTTAATAAAACATCTAGGTGAAAGAAGTAAAAAAAAAAGGGGGGTAAGTAGAAGAAAGAGAAAAAACAAAGAAGGGTAAGTCCGTAACCATAACGCCTTTTTTGTCCCATTCGATCAATTTACCAAGGGAAGACAGAGAAAATGATCTGAGCGGATGGAATACGAGAGAGGGGGTAGATAAGAAAATAAGAAGAGCAAATGTGGTAGTCCTGTCATCTGTTTATTTTCGGCCATCCTTCAGATGGTCGAAGTAGCAGTGACCTTCTTAGCTGGCCCAGGGCCATCCTGCTCAACGTGGATATGGTCGTTGGACTTGAGGACGTCATCAAGGTTGTGGTCATTAGGGTACTCCACACTAGGCGTTTCAACATCTCGTCAGTTCGACCGTATATTTCACCACCGATGACAAGGAGCAGAGGGAAGAAGGATCTCTCTTACGTGAATCCTCTAATCAGCTTGTACTCGTGGCGGATGGTGCCGCCAGTCTTCTTGGCTGATTCCTTTGCCCTGGAGATTCCGGAGTTAGCAAAACGGTCAAAGAAGGAAGATATGCATGTCTATCATCCCCGTTCTTTCGGGTGCTCGTGTCACATTCAAACGTCTCGAAGAAAGGAGAAGACGGTCCCACACGCGTGAAATGAAATGTTATACTTACTTGGCGAGGGCCTCATCGGGAGCACCAGGCTTCATGGTAACCTGCAAGGACGTTAGTGGCCCAGAACACGTTTCAGCTGCAGGGAGCCAAAGAGAAGCATAGAGAAGATACTCACGTTGAAGTACATCTTGGAGGTTCTACCTGGTGTACTTGGTAAGGTGGAAAAGTGCTGCAGGGTCCCAAATCCTCGTCAGATCCGGGTATACTTCGCGAGAAACATGTACTTTGAGGTCTTAGCTTACCTGTTTGTCCTTTTCAAAGGCTTTTTGAACGATTATCAGGTGTGGATGATGGTGATGAAAGTGGTGGAAGCAGAAGAGCCTGACAGAAAGATGTTTGTTGTGATGGTGATGTTGTTGTTGCTGTGTGAAAGGAGGACGGAGGGGTTCGGCAGCCCTTTTAAACCAGGCACTGTGCAGTCTTCTCGGCGTCCTCAGCGGAAGGAACTGGTCGACAAAGGCAGATATTGAGCTCTATGAGGGCCTCTAGGGGAATAAGAAACAAGCAAGCGAGCAGAAGGCTGCGTCATGGAGTGACCACCAAGATGGCGAGTGTGCATGGGGCTTATCCATATAGCAGGCTGCCTCTTTTTACTCTTGTCTCTCAGGACAGCAAACAAAAGAAAGAGGCAGTGATATCACACTACTAATAGCAGCAAATCCTCTCTTAGGTAGGCTGATTTCCTTTTTGCCTTTCTTCTCTCTTCTATCAAAGTAGCAGGATAGATGACTCTTATAGCTTCCTGCAGCGGGTGGGTAGGGCGGCCTAACCTTTCTCATCAAAGATAACGGGTAGGGCAGATGCTTAAAAAGGGTCTTTATCAAGGAGATGACGGAATCTGAACAAGGTCAAGGATACAAAGGGAGGCTCCCTTAACCTTATTCCGACCTAGCCGGCGCCCGGACTTAGTGGGTCGAAGGTGATGTTTTCCAGAGCTTCACAGCTTGTGATACATATCTTCGCCCTGTGGATGGGTGTGTAGGTAGCATACGAAGCTTGTGAGTCAAGGATGGAGCTATAGCTTCGACGCAGAATGGCTTGTGAAGTATCATCCCGCGTAGACACAGCCACCTAGGCGGCCAGTCAAGAACTGTTTGGTTGTGCTCGTCACCCAATAGGAAGGGGAAGCGGACCGCCATAAACTCCAACATTTGACATTTGCCTGCTGAGACGGGCAGAATGTGTGGATGGATGCTGGTTCAGAAAGGGTGTACCTGACAGGGGAAAACTAAATATATTTGACCCAGCTGATCATATATATAAGCAGGAACAGCTGCATACCAGTACAGGGGTGGAGGTCCTGTCTTGACCCTGCCGTCGACTACCGTTGCATACATGCAGATGACAGGATCAAGTGCAACGCAGCCTCAAACACATCGCTTGCTTCCGTGAAGAAGAAAGGAGGCTTGTGAAGCGATCATGGCCATCCCATCGTTCGCTAAGTCACCACATGCGGCGCATCGATGGGATGGTCACATGATGTCCTTTTTTTTTTTTTTTTTTTTTTTTTTTCGCCTGGCGAAGACCCCGGCGGGATTCAAAAAAGAGAGGAAGGCCTGAGTTGAGCCTTTCATTCAGCTTCACGGTCCAGCTCCCAGGATGAGCCCTTGTTTTCCCCTTTCGTTTCGCAGGCGGTTACTTCTCTCCACTATGCTTCCTTCAAACGCCCACCACCAGCGCTGAAAGACGAGTTGACCAACCTCCCACATCTCAGGAGAGAACGGGTCTGGCCCACTGACTCTCAGTCCTTCGCCAGCATCTTCAATATCGTACACCAAGCCCATCAAGCCCATCGGATCTGCCGCTGCAGGAGGCCGAAACTGCACTGGTAAGCTAAAGACCTGGATCAACTTATCTCTCGCGCTAGGCCAGGGCAGCAAGTCCAGAATCGCATGGTGCGGTACCAGTCGTTGGGTAGGCGTTGGATGGAAATTCCTTGGGATACCAGCCAGGTCCAAATGTTGGGCTACATCAGCGCCGAGAGCCGTTGGGCCGGTGTAAAATGGGCTTATACCCGCAAGGTTCCAGATATATTCAGTTAGTTTCAATCGGGTCGCTATAGTGAGCATAGCCCGCAAGAGGGTCAGGGGCGGGACCTCCAGAATCTTATCGTCAGGAAAGGTAAAGTTGGAAGTTTGGAATGATTGCAACGCCGAGGAGAGCGGCTGGGTATCGTCCTGGGGATAGTTTGCAAGGAACTGCAGGGAAAGCATAGACAGACTGGGCGACGTCCGTGCTGTGGGCGAGAGCTGGAGATCCGCAGGGGGCGAAGGGAGGTCGGGTGGAGGTGTCTCTGTTCCCATAGCCGATAAAGAGCCTATAGCCGATAGAGAGGAAGAGTCGAAAGTAAATTCCGGTATACTGGTCAGGTCTAGAATGGACTCTCCCAGTATTTTTGTCTGGCCATCCAAGGATGATGAGAAGGATAGAGGCCCATTGCCAAAAGTTGGCGGAGCGTTGCCATCCAGCTCTAGGTCCAACTCGGGAGGCGTAGGTGCCTGTTCTCCAATTGTCTCTGACAGGTTCACCGACGCCCGGCCGGTCGAAGACTCCGAGCCAGGAGGTGTAACCTTCTCGCTTGATTCGGGAGTCCTTGGCTGTGTTTGTCTAGCCTTTGCTTCAAGCTCAGCTAATTGTTCTCTCTTTCGTTGTCCTATGCACGCGATTAGCCCAGCAGTCTCGATCTACGAGAATAACGAAAAGGCATCATACTATATCTCCTTTGTGCAAGGACGTTAAGCACTCTCTTTCTCTCGGCCGCATCTTCAGCAAGATCAGGGACGACTATGTTGTCGGCTTTTCTCTTTTGCTTGTTCATTGCCGTCATCTTGCTGTCGTCATGTATCTTCACACTTGGATGCCATCACCACGAAGATACGGCGGAGACTCCATGGTGGTCATCTCTATATTTATATGTGGCCTGAAGAGGCTCTCGCTATCCGAATATATGATAGGCTGCTGGCCCAATTAGACTCCTGAAACAGTATATCTCGTATCTCCTTCGCCGCATTAATTGAGTTGATGAAGCTGAAATTCCCGTGTTTTCGTCCAAATATAAGCATAACGTTATGGTGTTGTTGCCAGCACCTTATGAAGACGCACTCAGCAGTTTTTAGAGATAAAAGCCTGTGTATTTAACTAGTATATTGTGGAAATAAACATGACATCGCCCGACCTTCAGCCAACCTTTTTTCGCACCAAAAACTCAATACTCAACTATGCCTTAGGGAAAAAGGATACCGGGATATTATTTAGTTGCAACAAGTAAAGTCTTAAGATAGTACCCTACTCCTCCTAGGGAGGGGGACTCCCGATGGTAAATATAATCTTGGAAGCGTAGGAATCGAACGGATCCTTCACGTTCTAACTACAGCCTGACATCGTTGAGGAATTCCAGGATATCAGCAATGACGCGCTCGTGATGCGTATCCGTCAGTCCTAAGAGGCCACAAATCAGTCAAATGACAAAAGATACCCAAATAAAAATGCTGGATAGCGACCTACCATGAGCAGCATTCTCATACATCTTCACCACCGTCCTGGGATATATCTTCTTCAACATGACAACCTGCGACTCAGGAGCGTCCTTGTCACCATGCAGACAAGTAATGCGGAGATCAGTCTCGCTCTCCAACTTCTTCAGCTTCTCGGTGAAATCCGTTGAAGAAATGAGCTGGACGCATCGCTCCACTGCCTGCGCATCCGCTCTGAGAACCAGCTCGGTATACCGCTGTATCAGCTCATCGCTGACCTCACAGCCAGCATCTCGGCCTAGGATAGCGGGTAAAGCCGCCTTGGTATATGCCGGACGATTGCAGCGGAGGTTATGCAGGATATCGTCCCATGCCTCTCGAGAAGTGGCTGTTGGATTCTCCGGGGTTTGAAGCGGGAATGGCAGTGCGGCTCCAATGCCAATGATTCCCTATGAGTAGAAAGTTCAGTCCCGTTGCCAAAAAATCGACGAGAGAGGAGGTTACATACCCTGCAGTTCTCTCGCACATAATCACTGTACATATACGTGTGTACCGCTTCGCCAGGTCCCATGCTAGCACCGATGAAAACAAACGGGCCGATCTTAAGCTTCTCCAGCAGATAAGCCAGGTCTGCGGCGAACACGTCATAGTCGATTGGTTTGTTGACGGGCTTGGAACCCATCCAATCGCTATTGCCGAATCCTCGTCTGTCGGGTGCGATGCAGCGGAATCGATAGGTTTCGCAGAGCGGGAGAGTCAACTTTTCGAACATGATGGAGGACATTGGCCAGCCGTGGAGGAAGACAAGGACAGGCCTTCGCCCTTCATTGTCGAGGGATGCCTCGTCGGGTCTGAAGGGGGCAGGGAAGTCTGCTGGCTTGTAGTCGCGGTAGAAAAGGTGACTTTCGTCAAAGGGGCTGATAAATCGAGGCATCTTGGTTGTTTTGGGTGGTGATCTATATATATAGACTTGTCGACTTTGGTTGGATAATGATGAAGTAGCTGATCGATGGCTGTTGGAGTGTCTTGACTCAGTCGCGAAGAGAAAGCAGTATATATATTCAGTCCATAACGTTTTGCATAACATGAAGTCGATGTGAGGGGTAGCCATCTAGAATTCTTTTTCATTTTGGTTTAACCCGTGTATACAATGCTGAGCATAACGTTATGCCGCCCGCCCCACAAAACACAACGACCAGATCTAAGTAGTTCTCTATCTACATGCAAGAAAAATATCGTCTACCTCGTATACAGTGACGGTAAGTAAGTCGCCGCCCGTCAAAAAAAATGATGATTCTATACACCGTCAAGGCCATCCTGCTCTCTGGCTGGCATACGAAGACCATGTAGACCCGTATAGGCAGACGGCTCAAGGGGCTTCCATCCTTCCAGCACAGCCTTGTCATCCAGAGAATAAACCTCCACGCCCAAAGGCTTAGTCGTATCGCCCATCTGCTCGCTCCCCTTCCACCCCCACTGCGACAAGTCCCCCCCAGAACAAACGGACAGCGCACAAAGGACGTCCTGCTCGGCGAAGAATTCAAAATAATCGCCTACTTTGGCCGGACTGGTGCCCATGAAATACCGCCCCTTGGAATCAAGACCGGTAACCTGGAACACGTTAAGCACATCATGCACGTCGCTTTCTACAAGGCCGTGCTGGGCAACGGCCCGCACGAGGTTAGAGTGGCAGTGGAAATCGTCTGATTCGCCCGTCATCAGGTGGTGGATGTAAGGGTCGCAGCGGGTTCCGAGGAGATCGTGCACACGCCCGCCGGAGCTGTCGACGCCGTATGTCGATAGAGTGTCGGCGGTGATGGTGACCAGGGGCCTCATGTAGGGCAGACAGGACCAGAGGCGGTCGAAGGTAGAGACGTGGGATTGGTGGAGCTGGCGGGTTCGGGAGGCCCAGAAGCGCTCGCGGGGGTTATGGGCGTTCCAGATGTTGAGGTCGCCTACCTGGGCACCTTGGGGGGCTATGATGCGGCATACCTGGCCTGCGCGGACGGTCCAGGCGTGGGCGGAGCGAGGGCGGATGAGAGAGGAGTGTTGCAAGGTGCGGGAGGGGCAGTTGGCGATGCGGCTGTAGAGCTCCTTGTTGGCGTAGATGGGGGAGTCGGCGGGTGCGTCGTAGGCTGGCGGCGGCGGAGGAGTCATCTTGCCGGACTGCTGGTGTCAAATTCAATTTCGATGATAATAATGCTGTCAATTTCAAATGTCAATTCGATAACAACTCCAACAACAACTTGAATTCACATCAAGAGTCAATTGGAGATAATTGATGCCAAGAGCTGTAGAGCCGAGGTTAGTTGTTAGTTACAATGCTTATGTCAGCGCGGCTCTTTCACTCAGCCTCCGTTTTCGTGTTACTAAAAATGGATTTCTGTGCCTGGCCGGAGAAGTGAGACAGGGCGTCCGCGGCCACCGTGAGGGCCTGCTACGGACTTCGTACCCTCAGCCCGTTTTTTAGGTGTTTGGACAATCTGCATCCGTATACGAATACGCTAAAAACGAAGGGGGATACGCAAAGGATACCGTAACGGGCAAGGAGTACGGAGTCCGGAGAATGTAGGGAGTTAAAAAATAGCAGTTGAGCTTCAAAGCTCCAAAGGTACGGAGTTAGTAGTTAATGAGGACGGAGTAAGTACATGACTAGCTGCATGTTTTGTGCATAGCATAAGAAAGCCGTTTTGTGCGTCATATGGGCCATCTCGGCCCCGACGCAGGTGAACAAAGATGCTCCGACTACCGCGCGCATCTGATGCTCTTCTTCCTCGCGCTTCCCTCACTCATCCGGGACGGACAAGGATGCGTGAAAGTCTGCAACGGAAGGCCGGCATCAGTCAACGTCGGTGCCTGACGTCATCACACCCAGGTCTGAGGTGCCTAGGTATTCTCGCAGCAGGCAGCGAGATTCTGTGCATAACCGAGTATGGCGTTGTGTGAAGTATCCTCAGGCCACGCTGTCGTTAGCCAGGCAACAGTGTTACCCACGATGGACTGAGGAATTATGCGTTGTTTACTCGACACATCTCCAAGGTCTTGGTGCCGAGGCTTGGGGCTGAGAGATCACTACCTTTGGAGTCTCCCGTCAGTCAGCCCACGAAGCCTGGACGAGCGTCTTCCACCTTGAGCAAGGGAAGAGAAAGAAGGTCTGGCCCTGATCTTCGACCAACTCTTGGTCTGCCCACCTGCTCAACTGTATCCAAGAGTTACTATCCGTAGCCATACTCAAAGAACATGAGTTGACGGAGCCACAGGGGCCCTGTAAGTCCGAGATCGAGGCCAGCGAAGAGCCCGAAGACCCGAAAGTGTCATGTGACCACGGCGCCGAGCATCCGATGAGTCATCATTGAGCCCTGCCCAGATGGCCAAGTGGAGGCAAGCCGGAGTTAAGGTGGAGAAAAGCGAGAGAAGGGGGAGAAAAGCAAAAGGGAGGACAAGAAGGAAGCAAAAGCAAAGAAGAAACTGAGTGAAAGTCTCGAGTTGAGCTGCATTAGTGATCGTGGGGAGCAGGAGGAGAACATAATAATAGTTCGATAATTATGGGCTAATTGCTTGGTCGGTGGGCGGGTGCGCCCAGGCAGCCAGCGCTGTGAGTAGCCCCTTTTGGGCATGCAATGCGACCAAACCTCCATCCCGCCGATGGACGATCTGGAGACGCAGAAGTTGGCAGCAGCAGGGCAGTTGATAGTTTGATGTGTAATAATAGGCTGCCATTAATAATACTACTCTTTAGTGGTCGTCCGTACGAAGTACTGTGTAGTAGTGATAGCACGTCAACGCCAGAGAGAGTTAAGTATGGCATCTTTAATTCCTATTACTCAGGAGTGACGCCATCCCGCACGCCGGATGAGGCCCCTGGGAACGAGCTAAACGACAAGGCGCCGGAGCCAGAGGGAAGCCGAGAGAAGAGAAGAGAGAAGAGAGCGACGAGATGATTCATCAGCCGACAGCTGGTCAAGCTCGCTGACCGCCAGACCCCGGCCGGCCTGCTGGATGCGCAGGCTCGGGCTTCGTATTCGCAGGGAATCCAGCCCCCCTCCCACCAGCCGCAGGGCCATGAAGAAGAGTCGATAAGAGTCGAAGAGCGTCGAAAAGTCAAGGGCGGAAAAAGCAAAAAGGGGACAGCGAAAAGTTCGACAGAAGAGAGAGTCGCCCACGCGGTCGGTAGCAAACCCTCCGGCCCACCGCGATCCCTTTCGTTGCTTTTGCCGTCGCTTGGTTGTTTGGCTGTTGGCTGCCTGGAGCGGATAAGACGGACGGACAAACTGTTGTCGTCGCTGCCGGAGGAACTGACGGGAGGGTCGAGTCGCTTGTCAGGTCACTCGCCGGCTACTTATATCTCTCCCTCGCTGCCTGTACTCCGTACTGCGTAGACTCCTGAGAAGGTAGAAATACTCTCGTCTCTCGACTCAGCTACTCTCAGCTCAGCTTCTCTCGACTCACCAGCGTCGTCTCCCTGATTACTCTGCAATAAACAGATTGACTTTGCCAGCAAGGAACCGAGCAAGGATTCCCTCCTCCCCACCGCCCTTCTTTGCGCCTCTTGCGATCGCTCACTAGCTTCGGACTTATCTGACCAGTCCAGTCATCCGCTTTTTGAGTTTTCAGTTCTTTCTTGGTCTTGCAAGAAAACTCGCTGCCTGACTCACGTCGAACGGAGAAAGGAGATAGCCATCAATAATAATAATAAAATAAAAATAAAAAAATAACACACTACATATATAAAAGACTCCGGCCCGGCCTGGCTCTTTTCTCCCTCCCTCTCCCTGCTCTGCTTTGCTTCTACGATCACCACACACTCGAATACATTCAGACTCACCGCAATGCATCTGAAGAAGAGAGACATGTCGCTCAGCGAGACCTACGTGCTCGCCCACACGGCCAGGGCAAAGCTCACCCGCGAAGCTGCCAGAGCCGACCACCACCTACGCCTGCTCGTCGGACACGCCAACATGCTCGACAACCTCATGCTTGACCTGGCCGAGGCCGAGCGGGAGCGCGAGGCATGGTACAACCAGGCCATCAGGTCCAGATCTACTTCTACATCAACAACATCAACAACATCAACAACTGCTGCTGCACCAGCGCCGGTCTCGGGCAAGCGCATCCAATGGCTGGACACCGTTGTCAGACACGACGAGCCAGAGGACGACAGCGACAACGACAACGGGGAGTGGGACGCCGTCAGTGACAGCGACTCAGACGACTCCTCAGACTATGAGACCGACGGCGATTTCCTGGTCGACATCGCCAGCAAACGGCATCAACAGAGCAGCCCTGCCGCTGCGGCTGCGGAGCTATACCCGATCAAGTTCTCTCCCGCCAGGGACTTCGACCTCGGCCTGGACAACAACAACAACAACGACAACAACAACAACGAAGAAGCAGAAGAAGAGTACGATGACTACGGCGACTACGACTATGACGACGGAGACGAGCTCACTCTCACTCGCACTTCGTCCCGGCAACACCAGCCGCCAGAGCTCCTGCACGACTCCGACGAGGAGTCCGAAGACGACATGCCCCCTTCTCCTCCAAGCACCACCTTCGACTCCTTCTCTGCCGTGGCTGCTGCTGCTGCTGCTGCTGTTACTGCTGCTACGGCTCCAGAGAAGGCTGTTGGCAAGGATATCCATGCAGACCAGCCCGCCAGCCCCAGACTGTCTCCCGAAGAACAGTCCTCCTTCGTCGAGCAGGGCTTCTTCCTGCCGCCCAGGAACCCGGCCAGGACAGCTCAGACGATGATTGCCGCCTTTTAAGGCACTCGTCTATCCACTTGCTCTCCTTTCCTCTTTCTCTACTCTACCAAACTGCATGCATAATATACCCTTGCTTTGTTTTTCATCTCTTTCGGCATACTCAAAACAAAAAGGCGTCTCTAGCATATTTTTCATTTTTTATTATTTGTTTATTGGGCGGGTTTGGTCTTTAGTGGGGGCGGCGTTCATGATTTGATGACGGATGATACCTCACCCTTCTTCTTGTTTTCTTTTCCCTCCCAGCTCCCTCCTCTCTCGGCTACACTGATCCTCACATCTCACCTGCATCTATCACCACCACTCTTGCATCTCCTTATTCCACCGCATTTTTTGCTTATGTCTCTCGTCGAGATGAGATACCTCTCCCTCCTGGCTGCAGGCAGAAAAGCCAGGGCATGGTTTATGAGAGATCTACGGTATATGCTTAGACATGTACAAAGCATGTTCCCTATAATCATACAGATAAATACTCCACCGAAAAAAAAAACAAAAAAAAAATTCAATATTAATCAAATTAACTAGCCTATCTCGCTATCTCTTGACTTTCTTTCGCCATACTTCGTACTTTGCACACATGTAGATCTGTAGATTGTTAAGATACACCCCACGTCTCACGGACACTTTGCTCCCCTCGTCACCTCATCAATGCGAAACGCACAACATGCAACTCGACCGTCGGCCTTCACGTGGCGCACGAATCTCGCCTTCCACCATGCGGGGAGACGAGCAGCCAGCTCAGCAACCCGGTTGTAAAGGGGTCAGGGGTCAGTGCTGGCCCGTCAGTCCCGCGCCCTCACGGAGCAAAGATGTGCACCGACACTATAACAACCAGTAGTATAAGCAATCTCCGATCAGGAATGCCCATAGTAGCACAGATTAAAGTAACGGAGGTGTTATAGGCATGGTCTGCTCGGATGGAAGAGTGGCTTCAGCGCTGCTTAGAGGGGACTATGTAGCGGTCACCCGGGGGGAAAAGAAAGGGGGAGGACGGAGAACAGACGGAAGCTAACTAGTTAGTTTTACTCCTCGACTACCTAAAAAAGGGCCGAGAGGGTTGGTGCTACCCGATGGCGGTTTCAGCCATCCTCGCCTTCTACAACATCAAATATACTCTTGTACCACTTCTTGTCATTCTTGCCATGTGGCTCGTCATACAAGGGAGAAGTCTAGAGCCGTAGCACAGAAATGCCGAGAAATATGTATCTACATCGGAACGGTTGATAGTCACGGCTAGAACAACAAACAATCCCCTATGCATTCTGGACATAGTTACGGAGTATACTCCCAAGAATAATGAGCATTATTATTATTCCAAAGAACCCCCTCATTCATCCCCCCTTCTCCCGGCTCAGCTATACTACAAGAAAGTCTAGATCTAGAGCCAAGACAAGCCCCATGCTGGCCAGTTTAGTTAGTTATAGCTTTGCTCGAGCGCTACACTCGGGCTTCGATGCATACTTGTAAGGCTCCCCTATCGCCGCCATGATTCTACCCAACGCCTTGTCCAGGAACGGCCGAGGATGCGAAAACACTATCCGGAACCAACCTGGCTTCTCTGACCCAAACGCCGTTCCGTCAGCAAGGAACACTCGCTTGGATATCAGCTCATCCATCACCGTGCGAGTCAGATCCGCCGGCATCGGGATCTGCTTGTTCCGCAGGTACGCTTTGCCCAGGTTCACCCACACGAAGAACGAGGCGTTGCAGCCCGCCGCATACTCGATGTCGTGGTCCTGCATGGCCCGAGCGACAAAGGCGTACGACTCAGATAACTTCCTCTGGTTGACGGCGATGTAGCGGTCGGTGAACCCTTCGTTCTCAAGAATGCTCGAGGCAACGTGGTCAGATAGCCCCGAAACATACGAGTACAGCGTCGGTCCCTTGATGGCAGCCAGCAGCTCCGGGTTGGATTGGGATATGATTACTCCCACCCGCAGACCGTTGGCGCCGAAGTCCTTGCTCATCCCCCAGAGGGCGTGCAGCAGGTTGGCATCGATCAGCCCCTGTGTTGGTATCGAGAGAGCAGAAACAAACTTTACAGGAGGCGGTGTGCCGGGTGCGGTGTCGACGGTGTTCTCCCACACGGACAATGCGTATATCTCGTCGCTGATAAGGTGGATCTGATACCGCTGGCAGAACTTCATCAGCTCAATGATCGTTTCGCGGGGATAGCACCGTCCCAGTGGGTTGTGCGGGTGACACAGCATCAGCGCCCGCACCCGTTTACCCGTTCGTGCCTCGAAGTCGAGCAATGCCCTTTCATATTTGGTCACGCATCGAACTTCAAACGGATCTAGATCGTCAAACGATACGGGAACCACCTCCGCTTCGGGTCGAGATGTCATGTCCGGTAAAAACGCCCCGTAATGAGGTCGGCCGAGCAGGATACCTTCGCCGGGATCTGTAAATGCCCATGCCAAATGCTCGATGGCAGCCGATACCCCATTAGTCACCATCAGATGCTCGGGTTTCAGTGGTACCACAGGCTTCAGATGACGGTTCAGGAACCGCGAGGCGGCTGTCTTCAGCCTTCGTGACCCATCCCCTCCATCATTGTATGTCAGGTAGTGGGGAGGTAAGTCTGCATGTGTACGGATATAGTCCAGTAATGTGCCATGCATCAAGAAGTTCTCTGCCACCCCGACATTGACGAATCCATTCTCGTTGGTGGCAGCATCGTATAGATCTGTGAAGACATCCCACATCTTGTTCGCTGCCGTTTCTTTTGACACTTTGGCTGCACGGTTGGAGACCGTGGCTGGCCGGACACTCGCGGAACTGTCTCCGGAACTCATGGTCGATATATATAAAGATATATATACACACAATATATTCAAAAAATTGCGCTTATACTTGAAGTTATCGTTGCCTGGATGGGTTGGAAATGACATACCATCTTGTAGTCATTGCTCACCGGCTGATAAATCAAGGCCCCATCAGCAGTGAGCTAAATACGAGGGCCATTGCCGAAATCTTGGAAGCATCTCTGTAATTAGTTGGCGGTGTGGTGACGCCCTCATGCCACATTTCATGCGTAGTTGAGCAATGCAGTCCAATCAAAGTCGTCTATCCCGCGCCGTTCTGAGGACCCTGGCCTCTTGTCGAATTATCCGGGCTGCCATTTTTCGGATGACCTTGCGAGGCTGGGATCCACAGATACTAAGCGACTTTCGAAGCGGCTGGCGCTTAATGTTTCTATTATGTAATATTTTATGATTATGTAATTATAATGACTAACAAAAATTTATTGTCAAAGTGTAAAAAAAAATAAAAAATAAAAAAGATTGATAAAAGCTTAGATAGAGGACTTTCATTTTGAATGCGGTCAACCTTCTACTGGCTTAGAGATGATATAGGTTGTTGTACCTGGGAAATTCTTTGGCCATGGAGGAGCAATCCAACAGACCCCATCGGAAGTCCAAGGAGAAGGGGAAGAAGAAGGATCATGGAAGTACGTTGAGCTTCCGAAATTTCATTCCGCAAAGATGCACAAGTGATCATGACTGCTAATTAGGATAATTATGATGTTTAACAGGTCCTAACCCCAAGGCGTTTGCTGTCAATAACCCAGGGAAGCTGCAGAGGCAGGCAGCTAGGTCCCATGATGTACGTACATGGTTTCGAGTTTGCGCGGGGGAGTCTGCAATTTGCTAATATGTCGGTCTGATAGATAAAAGAAAAACGGCTACATGTCCCACTCGTGGATCGCCTGCCTGAGGACCCTCCGCCAATTATTGTCACAGTCGTTGGTCCGCCGGGAGTACGTCAATTGGAAACGTTTCAAGAATGGGTGGAATGGCGCAGCTAACGAACCGTTTGATATATAGGTTGGGAAAACTACTCTCATCAAGTCGTTGATCAAACGATACTCGAAACATTCACTTACTTCGATCACCGGCCCTCTGACCGTCGTTACGTCGAAAAAGCGAAGGCTTACCTTTTTAGAATGTCCCTCCGATTCTCTAGCGAGTATGATCGACGTCGCAAAGATCGCCGATATTGTGTTGTTAATGATAGACGGAAACTATGGATTTGAGATGGAAACCATGGAATTTCTCAATGCTTTATCTGCAAGTGGAATGCCCGGAAATGTTTTTGGTATTCTTACGCATCTCGACCTATTCAAGAAACAAAGCACCCTGCGTACGGCAAAGAAGAGACTAAAACACAGGTTCTGGAGCGAGTTATACCAGGGCGCGAAGCTCTTCTACCTTTCTGGAGTCATTAACGGGCGCTATCCAGATCGAGAGATTCATAACCTTTCGCGATTCTTGTCGGTCATGAAGAACCCGCGACCACTTATATGGAGAAACTCACATCCATACTGTTTAGCGGACAGGTTCTTGGACATAACGCCTCCCACCCTCAAGGAAGAAAATCCAAAGTGTGATAGGACTGTTGCTCTCTACGGATACCTGCGAGGCACTAACTTCCCGGCTATTGGTGCAAGGGTACATGTTCCGGGAGTCGGGGATCTTAGCGTTTCTTCCATTGAAGCTCTGCCTGACCCATGTCCCACGCCTGCTATGGACCAGGCAATGGCAAAAGCAGCGGGAAAGAACGGAAGAAAACGATTAGGCGAAAAACAGAAACTTCTCTTTGCTCCCATGGCAGATGTTGGTGGTGTTTTGGTTGATAAAGATGCCGTGTACATCGACGTCAAAACCAATACGTTCAACAGGGACGATGACAACGAACAGGCTGAAGAAAGGGGCCTGGGAGAGCAGATGATTATTGGTTTACAGGGAGAAAGAAAACTGCTGGGAGATACTGCCGCTGGAGTCAAACTGTTCAGGGACAGCGGTGTTGCCGCCACCATCAACCCAGAAGAAACTGAGAATCTCGGAAGAAACGAGAAGAGGAAAGCCCGGTTCATTGAGGGCGATGATAATGCGCATGACCTAGAAGAGGATGAGGACGATGGACTAGAGAGCGCGGGGGAAGATGAAGACGAAGAGCAATATGGAAGCGATATAGAAGAGGAATCGGATGACGAAGTATCCGGCGCCGACTTTGCTGCTAAGTTCCGAGAAAAACAGAATGGAACTTCCTGCAGTAAAAACGGGGAGGACCTTGCGTTCGCTGATAGTGATTCAGATCTTGGTTCTATATCATCAGTTGAAGATCAAGAACTTGAAAGTGCCCCCAGTGACTACGAGGATGAAGAGGACGAAGATGGAGAAACGCGCTGGAAAGAAAATTTGGCTGCCAATGCAAAGACGATGTTTAGCAAGAAACCCCCTTATCGAGTAGCTGAGCTTACTCGTATGCTCTACGATGACTCGGTAAACCCGGCAGATGTAGCCCGTCGATGGAGTGGCGAAGATGCTATGGAAGAAGACCAAAGGGATGATGAGGATGAAGCCGACGGCTTTTTCAAAAAGACGAATGCCGAAAAAGGGGTTCTGGATGACCGTATGATTCCCGTTTACGACTATGACGAACTGGAGAAGAAATGGCAGGATCAGGAGAATCTAGATGCGCTGCGTCGACGTTTTGCGAGCGTCAAGTTCTCTAAAAACAGGTCTGGCAAGGAAGGATCTGGAGATGATGAGGATGATGAAGAAGAAGGCGGATTTGGAGACTCAGATTCTGATGACGAAGGAGATGGAGCATTTGCAGATCTTGAAACCGGCGAAGTATTCGGCGGCGATAGCAAAGATAATGAAGAGGAAGATGAAGAGGAAGAGAGCGAGCCCGAAGACCTTAATGCCGAGCGTGAACGTAACGCCAGGCGAAAAGAGGAATTGAAACTTCGTTTCGAAGAGGAGGACCGAGAAGGCTTTGCTAATTCCAAAGACGGGGCGAGGGCTGGTGGGCAGTCTCAAAACGAAGAGCAGTTTGGCGAAGATGAATGGTATGATGCACAAAAGGCTACTCTTCAGAAGCAAGCTGACATCAACCGTGCTGAATTTGACGCACTTGATGCACTGTCGAGAGCACGAGCAGAGGGCTACAAAGCTGGAACATATGCTAGAATTGTACTAGAGAATGTTCCCTGCGAGTTCTCTGAGGGTTTCAATCCTCGATTCCCAATCATTGTTGGAGGTTTGGCGCCTACTGAAGATCGATTTGGCTTTGTCCAGGTCCGAATTAAGCGTCATCGTTGGCATAAGAAGATCCTGAAGACGAATGATCCTCTTATCTTCTCGCTGGGCTGGCGTCGATTCCAGACAATGCCAGTCTACAGTATCTCAGACTCTCGAACTCGCAACAGGATGCTGAAGTACACACCCGAGCATATGCACTGCTTTGGTACCTTCTACGGCCCCCTGGTTGCCCCTAACACGGGCTTCTGCTGTGTTCAGTCGTTTTCGAACAAGAACCCTGGATTCAGGATAGCTGCCAGCGGTGTCATCCTAAGCGTTGACGAAAACACTGAGATTGTCAAGAAGCTGAAGCTCACCGGCCAGCCTTACAAGATTTTCCGAAACACGGCGTTTATCAAGAATATGTTCAACTCGTCTCTTGAAATTGCCAAGTTTGAAGGAGCCGCTATTCGTACCGTTTCTGGTATTCGAGGTCAGATTAAACGTGCCCTGAGCAAACCAGATGGCCATTTCCGTGCCACGTTTGAGGACAAGATCTTGATGAGCGACATTGTCTTCCTTCGAACCTGGTATCCCGTCAAGCCTGCCCGTTACTACAATCCAGTAACCAATCTCCTTGACTACAAGGACTCTGAAACCGGCACAGGAGCTACCTGGCAAGGCATGCGTCTTACCGGAGAAGTCCGTCGAGATCTGGATATTCCTACCCCGCTGGAGAAGGACTCTGCCTACCGCAAAATTGAACGGCAGACCAGGCACTTCAACCCCCTGAAAGTACCCCGACAGCTAGCAGCTGACCTCCCGTTCAAATCCCAGATCACAAAGATGCGGCCGCGCAAGAAGGAGACGTACTTGCAGAAGCGCGCCGTTGTCCTGGGTGGGGAAGAGAAGAGAGCCCGCGACCTCATGCAGAAGCTCACTACGCTTCGAAACGAGAAGGTTGCCAAGAGACAAGCTGCTCAGGAAGAGAGGCGGAAGGTCTACCGGGCAAAAGTCGCGGAGAACCTGGAGAAAAAGGAGGCTCGAGAGAAGAAAGAGCGAGATGAGTTCTGGAGCCGGGAAGGCAAGAAGAGGAAGAATGAAGCAGAGGGAGGTTCGAGCAAGTTTAAGAAGAGGAAGTGAGGGTGTATCCATATATCTATATCCGTGTTTTCTATTTGGAGCAAGCATTTTGTATATAATCCCCGTATACATGGCGTAACTGTAGGCTGGCCAGGAAAAGCAGTGATTAGATCGTTTCAGCCCTTTTACTTATTATTTTTAGTCTCTCTCCTTCTCTGTTACCTCCTTCGTCTTCATCTTTATCTTGACTGTCTTCATCTTCGTCTCTCTCACTCACACACTCTCTCTCTGTCTTTTCCCTTCCGCGGCTAATTTTATATACACGTGACCTATTTCATCACGTGCCGGCGCGACGCGTCTCAAAAAAGATCTTCAACTCTCTTCAACATCCCACGTCAAAAGGAAAAAAAGCCGACTTGACGAGCTGACAGGCGGACGAGGAGGAAAAAGAAAATACCGGAGACAGGAGAGTGACTGGGAAGCGTGCCGGTGACAGCAGGGTGTGCTTTGGCTCTCGAGAGCTGCTCCCTGCGTTAGTCGGGGCTGTTCACTGGACGTCGGATTTACTCGAGTCACTGACAAACATGCGCAACCACGGCTCGAAGCCACACAAAACCGCTTGACCAAGAACTCTCGCCATGCGGCGTTGGTAGCTCTAATCAAATTACGTCAGGCCGCTATTACTTGCTGGAAGTCAACAAAAGGAGCGGAAAAATAAAAAGGAACCCTCATCGAGGATAATTCTTCCCACAATCACAAACAACGTCGTCTCCTCGCCATCCTTGATCTATCAGCCGCCACTCCAACAGATAAGGCCCGGATAAGACGTCAATCTATCCCGATTCCTCCGTTTCTCTCTTGCGAGTCTGCCATGGATGGCCGTGGAGCGCGTTCTGACTCGATAAATATGAGCACACAATGTCCAGTTTCGACGTCTAGTGGACATGATGTCTCTCCTCCGTTGAGAGCTGCCGCCAGTGACCTCACCCAATCGTCCGTGGCAGATGCCAGCGATTCAAACTCCCCTCCATCCACGTCATCGTCTCTTCAATTTGGAACCGATCCGGGCGCGAGTTCCAGCACAAATTCCCAAGTAGACCAACCTCGGTCACTGTCACAGCTCCAGGCGACCTCATTTCCCCGACCGCTGGAAAAGGTCGACTCTGGCCATGACACAATATCATCTACCCCTTTTCATAGTCCACCCAGTGCTAGGAGCGTTGTTCAGCTCACACCAGGGCAGAAAAGAACGGCAAGCGGGAGTATGAAATGCTCGGTGTCTCCGGACCGACCATTCTCTGCATTGACTACTCCCGGAGCTAGGTATCATTCAAGATCTGCGAGTACAGATTCGCATTCAAGTCGTATTGCCGAAGTAAGAATCTCTTTCTATTCCTTTTTTCTTGCTTCCCATTTTAATCATTTGGACGTTGAGTTAATGCCATGGTTCACAGATATCGGCTCAACTCCGCTCAAAATTATCCTGGGCAGCAGCAAAAGTGGAAAAGGATTGGAAATCCAACCCAAACAGCAAGCAGTTCAGCTTATCTAGCAAGACACATTCGCCAAGAGAAATTAATGCGCCCATACAACCTAATGGTTATCCACCGTCAAATCAACCTCCAAAGTTCAACGGTTCTGTTGGAGAGCGCGATCTTGCGGCTCAAGTGTTAAAAATCGCGACTGGACATAGCAACCTGAAGCCTGATATGCCACAAAGCAAACCACTGAACAGCTCGTCTAGACCATACCATCGGCATAATTTATCGATGGGTTCAATTCCATCAAAGTTGTCCTATGAGCGGTCAACTTCGAATGGCCTCCACAAAATCCCCCGCCTTGCTCCACCAGCAGATATAATTCCGGGAAATGGGCCTCATACAAAACGGAGAATAAGCCAAAATACCACAAGCCCTAAAAAGTTCAAGGTCCCATCTCTTTCACAGCAGTCCTCGAGCTCCTCTGTGATAGGCACCCAGGGGTCTTGTCCTATTCCCGCTACCCCTCCGCAGCCCCATCAACCCTCATTTAAAGCCCCATCATCTGCAACGACGGCTATTCTTGGAAGACACTGTACTCCTACCGAAAAAACAATCATGGAGCAGGATGCAGTCGAAACTCTCGTTTTCATGGGAAGTCCAGAAAATTCGGGGTACTACAATGACTCTCGACCACACACCAACCCGCCTAGCAATTCACAGGATTCAATTCAATACCCCCCGGTGACGGAAAACACATCAGCTCCAACTTCTTCTGCACCTCCAACACTAGGTATGCCTTTCAGTTACGAACCTCGAGAACGGGGTCCGCTTCAGTCCAAACGCGTTAGCTTTGCAGAACATGGTGGAGAAGCTCCGTACGCAAACTGCAGCCGGCCCAGGCTAGAACAAAACGCTGGTGATGAAATTGACCGTCTGCTGGACGAAATGGGTGACAGCGACAACGAACCAGATTATGATTGGTTTGCTCATATGTCGGGAGCCAGGGATAATTTTAGTCTACCTCAGCAAAATAACCAGTGGACCAATGACCAATGCAGCCCCCCAAGCTCAGCTATATGTCAACCCGGTAATAATGCTCAGCTGCGAGGCTAACGAAAGTTCCTCCAATTTTCTCCGCATCTCATTTTTCCTTGGGGCTACTTCTTGTGTGTTGAACACATACCCTACCTACAGACTTTTTTGGTAGAGCATTTATGACGACCCGTCCTGATGATTGAAACGAATGATACGACGTTGGCATTTCGAGTAGCTCATGACTGTTTCTGTACGTTTTATCTGTGTTTATCTGTTGGTCATGAGCAAAGCTCTTGATCTTTTGCTTGCATAAATCCCCCTCACGAACGCAGCATGGTAGCCTTGGATAGTGTCATCCGGAAGCTGAGTCCGCCTTACCCGCCTGTCGCCCCATCTATGTCTGAACAAGCATTTTTGCCAAGAGTTCACCTCGCCGCATAAATCACGTATCAATCATTGGTTATGTCCCATATTCCCATAAACTATCTAGCATTCACCGGATCAATCGAATAAGAAAACTACAAGGTGATTCACTTTGACTCATATGTTTTAGTTATCGGGATCCTACGCGGAGGCTAGCTCAACCAAGTTCAGTAGCCATTCGATCACCGAGGATCCTCTAGTTATCTGGTTAGCCACTCTTCAATTTTTGGAACGAAACATCCATGTTTGGATCCTCTCTCCGCGTGACAGATCTTCACCAAAGTGCAGATCCTCAGCTATTCTAGCTTAGAACTTGCTCGTGCGTCTTTAGGCTGGATGGCAAACCCACTTCCCCCTAACACCTCTATCCACTACCCGGATATGTGCATCGGCTTCTTAGCTCCTACCCCCATCCATGCTGCATGAAGCATCTGGGTTGAAGCCCTAGATTACACGACAGTCAACCATCAATGCTGCAGAAATTATGTCGCATTGCATCAGATATACCCTGTATCATGAAGCTACAAAGGGAATCCTACGCTGCTATCATATCGATCGGCGTGCTATCCGGCGGTCCTTCCCTGCCTTGCCTCATCAACGATCGTTTGAGGAGTAGTGGGCGTACCTAGGGTCTCACAGTTGCCCCTCACCCCTTTTGAAGTATGGCGGCATTATATATTCAGTCAGTGGCGCGTCTCCAATTCTGCATGTCGGTTTTTCCTTCTCACCAGGATTTCGGAAATCTGTGATTTCTCTCATTCTCTAGAAAGAGGGCCTTGAGCGTGTCCATTGCTCCATATTACTGCAGCCACAATGGATGAGAAGGTCAATCCCTGCCCGGCGGATGCTGATGCCGCGTATAACTTTTTGCATGAGCATAACATCGACCTAAGTTCAGTTAATGAAAAAGCTCTACTTCGGAAAATCGATTGGATGATCGTTCCTCTGATGTGGGCGTGCTATAACCTTCAATATGTGGACAAAGTGCTCAGTAAGTTTTCCATTACAATGGAAGTATTTCGATCATTTACCAACGGGTTATACAGTCAATTTTGCATCCATCATGGGCCTTCTAGAAGACGCCCACTTAGATACAGATCAATTTTCCTATCTTGGGCTAGCGTTCTATGTTTCCTATCTTTTCTTCGAGCTTCCCACTGGATATCTTATGCAGAGGCTTCCAACAGCAAAGTACCTCGGGGCGAATCGTTAGTGTTTCCCGGAGTTTGGTCTATACGGATATTCAGTTCTAATTTGTCTATAGTTATCTTATGGGGAACTGTGGTCGCTCTCAACTGTGCAGCCAAAAATTTTGCTGGTCTTCTAGTACTCCGACTTCTCTTGGGCTGCTTTGAAGCCTCAGTTGCTCCAAGGTACAGAGTCCTGTCTATTACTTTTTGATGCCCTGTTTAATGACGAACCTAGCTTGATCTTAATTACGGGAATGTGGTATAAGAAGAAAGGTATGTTATATGCTGATATCGCGATTGGGCAATCTCAGACTATCGCAATTATTGACTGAGAAATAGAGCAACCAGCACGTATGGGATTCTGGTATTCCGGGACAGGAACAGCAACTATCATAGGAGCCCTCAGTGCCTATGGCCTTTTATTTTACACCGGTGAAAGATTCAAGCCATGGCAGGTCATGTTCCTTATCTTTGGTCTCATCACCATATTTACCGGCATCCTCGTCGTCCTATTCCTCCCAGATAATCCAATGACATCCCGATTGACTGAGGCGGAGAAAGTATATGCCATTGAGCGACTTCGAGAAAACCAAACCGGTGTTGAGAACAAACATTTCAAAATCAAGCAGTTTAAAGAGGTTTTTGAGGATCCTCAAACCTACCTTTTAACTCTCATTACCACAGCAGGCCTCGTCCCTAATGCCGCCATTTCTCAGTTCCAATCTCTCATTATCAAGGCCATCGGATATACCCCAAAGCAAACTCAGCTCCTTTCTATTCCTAGCGGAGTTGTTAACATGATTGCGATTGTTGCTGCCACGTTACTCGCTGCTAGGTTCGGCAAGCGCACACTTTTCATGGTTGCCGTCCTAATCCCCAGCTTGTTAGGCGCTTGCATGCTTGCGTTCTTGGATAATACTCATCCAGCGGCAAAACTTGCTGGAAACTACCTAACACATTGTAATAACGCATTTCTCCCACTTACATATTCCATTATTACTGCCAACTACGCGGGCCATACAAAGAAAGTGACGATGAACGCTATCATCCTGATGGCGTTCTGTCTGGGAAACATACTAGGCCCTCTCACCTTCAAGGACCAGGATGCCCCCGAGTATGTGCCAGCAAAACTTACTATCGTGGTAACCATGTCAATTACAATAGTTTCAATCTTCGTCTTGAGGTTCTATTACAAATATGAGAACAAGAGAAGAGACAGGAAGTTTGAAGAAGGGCAAGTGCAACCCGCTGCTGATTTCCTTGATATCACTGACCGAGAGAACCTATCATTTCGCGTGAGTTATGCCTCTTCCATCTCGTCTATGCTTATTCTAATTAGGATGACATTAACATGATCTTTCTAGTACGTATATTGAACATGGTCTCTTCTTCTCAATGTCCAAAGCGGGCCATGGTTATGCATTCATTGTTAACATCTACTGCTATATAAATGATGTTTTCGGGACGATAAGGGATAATAATGCAGGTTACACATGTATAGATCCTACGAGAGAAAGGAGCAATTGGCTAAAAATCATATATATCACCTTGAATCAGCTCCTATTTAAAGAGTTCCCGGAAGGACTCATGTCCAAGAAAGCCAATTTTCTATCTTCTACTGAGCTAGGTAGCCTCCATCCACGGGAAGGGTATGGCCAGTGACAAAGCTGGCCTCTGCTGATGCAAGAAATACTGCAACACTGGCTACCTCCTCCACTCTAGCAAACCGGTATTCAAATGGCTGCTTGGCTGTAAAAGAAGCACGTATGCCTTGTACGTTCGGATCTTCGCTATCATGGGGAGCCAGGTCTTCCAGCAATGGAGTCTGCACAAAACCAGGCGCTATAGCATTCACATGGCTGTATATTTACCCGAGTTAGCCAGACAATCAATAGCTACGTTAATTGGGGGTATTAGTCTTCTCACATTCTATTAGCACCATATTCCAGGGCGACTGCTCTAGTGAGGTTGACGACAGCTCCTTTGGAAGCGGAGTATGCACTGCCACACTGTATTCCAACTAGGCCCATTACTGATGCAGTGTTGACAATCCAGCCCCTATCGCCGGTGGAGGGCGGCTCCTGAGCAAGCATCTGAGCAGCTGCATATTATTCACGCGGGTTAATTAATGCGTATCAGCGTATGAAGACCCATTGGGACATAGAGAGGAAATAGTCGAAACTACTCACTACACCCTAGCCAAACACCCTTTCCATTCACCCCCATAATCCTATCCCAGGAGTACTCGGGAGTTTCATGCAACCTTAGAGCTGGATCATGGTTATAGTTGGGCCCGATTCCAGCGTTATTCACCATACTGTATACATGTTAGATTCTAATAGGAGAAATTAAAGGGAGTAAAGAAACATACATATCTAGCCTTCCATATTCCTTCACGCAGGCGCTCACCAGTGCCTTCACGTCGGCATCAATAGAAACATCTGTCTTAATAAATATCGATCTACGTGAGAAAGATCTTCCAGATGCAGCTGGATACTTCTCGTCCAGAACTTCGTGAGTCGGTTTCAACTCTTCTCCGTCCTTCGTTTTGGCTGTAGTGAATTAAAGGCTGTATTAATATAAATAGGTAGCAGCAAATATATTGAATCAACAAAGGCTACCTCTTGATTCCGGCATCAAGTCAGCACATACTACGTATGCTCCCTCGGCAGCGTATCGAAGCGCGATTGCACGACCGATTCCGTCTGAAGAGCCAGTGATTATGGCTATCTTGTCCAGAAGACGAGTGCCGGAGGCCATTTTAACAAGTCAATCAGTCAGAGAGGGTGTTTGCTCTGCGTCGTTTGTCTGCTCAAAGAGGTTTAACTAAGGGTTTGTTCGTGCAAATGAATCAAGGGGAAACTGTTTCATATAGCGAAGACATTTGGTGAGACTTGTTTCTCCATGATGAACGATGCTGTGCTCATATATATAATCATCCTGGTGGCTGGCTGCGGGGCATTGGCTTGTTCATCTCGTATAAATTTGACCAAGGGTGATAGAGTCTAGGTACGCTGTGTGATGAAAGGCTCCACGATGACAACTGAAATAAAAGTAACCGGCAACCATTATAATTAAAACACATAGGAGGCCGGGCGAAGAGGATAAGATTATTCGTAGAAATACAATTGCTAGAATCCAAATTTCAAGCCCATTACTTCGTTAAGAGTCCCCTTCAATCAGCCCAAGAATCGTCCATTTCGGCCACGTCATAGTCAACTTCATGAGCTGGTTCCTTTTCCGGTACACGCGCAGCCGTAGCATTGCTGTCCGTCATAGAGACATCCTCACTTGTTTTCGGGGCGGATGCAGCGGCACCAGGCAGCTGCGTTGAGGATGCCGGAGCATTGGCAACCCAAGCGAACTCAACTTTACCAACGGATGGGATATCAGAGGGGCCATGGACCAGCTTTTCAGCTACATAGCGGTCCTTGAAGGAGACTACCAAAGCCCCTGGGCGATCTGGGCTGGGATCAATGCTCTCATATTCTCCGATTCCCTGTACATTAATTGATTAGAAAAATTTCAGCCAAATTGACAATTCGTGAAAGGCACTGTGCTTACCAGAAGATATTGCCGCAAAGCCTCATCACGGTTGGTATCAAATTCTACCCCTGAAATTGCGACCCTTTTAGGACGGTTATCTAGGCGAATCACGCCTCCCCGACCACGGAACGCTCCACGGCCTCTGAATCCTCCACGAAACGAAGGGTCGAAACCGCGGCCTCGAGGTGCGAAACCACCTCTTCCACGGAAGCCGGCGTAGCCTCGACCACGACCACGGCCAAACGGAGATTCTGGCTGAGCGTTAGGATCTATACCCATACTCTTAGCTTCTGCCTCGAGAGATGCAAGTTGGGCTCGAAGTGAGGCAGTCTTGTCATTCGCTGAATTTCCTGATTCGGGTGAAGCCGTATCTTTGCCAGCGCCCTTGGCTTCTAGCTTCTGTAATAGTTTGGCTTGTTCCTCCTTGTGGCGTTTCAGCAGCTCTTCTGTCTTCTTCTTGTGCTCTAAAATTGCTTCTTCGGTCTCTTTTCGTTTCCTGACTTTTTCTTCATGAGCTTTTTGAGCCTCTGCCTGCTGTTTCTCAAATGCTTCCATGTCGAATGATGGTTCATCGGCGGAGGCCTTCTTGAAGCCATTACTGTCGCCTCTTGACTCTGTGGGTTTATACCAGTAGACTTTTACAAATCTGTTGTCAAAGATGACCTTCGGGCTCGACCATGCACGATGCGCTGCATCGTAGGAGTCGTATTTGACAAGCGCCAGATGTTTATACGGTTTCATGGTCACCTCTGTAATCTCGCCAAATTCAGAGAAAAATTCCCGAACAGTAGCCTCGTCGAATTTATCTTCTGGAATCTGTTCAACGACAATCGTTGTGATTCTCCTGTCATCGTTAGGGCCGGCGTGAGAAAATTCAGCCCGGTTACGGCGCTGTGAGCCATGGCCTCCTCTGTCGTTACGACCACGGCCTCGTCCTCTGCCTCGATCCCCACGCCCACTAGAGCCATGTCCATTGGCGCCATTTGCTGAATGTCCAGACACGATATTGGAATTTGTAGGATCGTACTCTATAGTCAGTACGTTAGCCAAAATTGAACACAGTATAAAGTTACAATGAACATTATCTCATACCGTCGTCTTTTGATGGAGCCTGTCCATGCTGATAGGGACAGGTACTCCCCAGGACACAGAATCCCATATTATCATAATTCTTGCATCTCTCAGCAATCTTATTAGGAGGTGAGCCAGAAGGTTGGGGTTGCCCATTAAGAGACGGAAGTGGTGGCATTGGTGGCATCCCTGGAATTTGAGGGAAATTGATTCCAGACATGCTTAACATTTGCGCTATGGGATCGTTAGGATTGAACGGTGGGAAACCAGGCTGTGGGGCACCAGGGCCACCATGAAATCCACCTGGCATGCTCGGTGAATATCCTTGGCCATGCGGACTTGGATTTTGCCGGTTATCCCATCCTCCTCGGCCACGTCGACCACGAGCAGATTTATGCGGTCTATCCGCATTTCTCTGGTAAGGGCTCTGATCATCCCCCTGGGAATCATTAAATGTTCGTTTCCGCGTATTAAACTGTTGGTCGTTGTTGTCAAACGGAGCCGTACCCTGCTGCCCCATGGCCCCTTGCTGAGCTTGCGCAAATTCCGCCATCATATCTGCACTTGGAGGTTGTTGGCCGAAAGGAGGATTGTGGACAGGAGAAGACATTTCGGGCTGTTGGGTGTTGGCAGGCAGGGCTCGTTGCTCAGGTTTGGGGTGAAACCTTTCAAAGATCTCATCGACAAAGGGGACGGTGTCTAGGAACAAACCAACCCATTAGCCGCCACTATACAGCCAGCGAGGATATGATGAGAACACAAGGCACATACTCTCTTTCAAAAAATCTTCGAGATTCTCCACTGACGCTTTCCTTATCTCATCGTCTGGAGCATCGGTAGAAATCAAGGCAAGAACATAGTCGGCCAATACTTCCGAATCTGCATCAGAGCTATTGAAGATATACAAATCTCTGGTTAGCAACTCTGACCTTTATAATATAATGAGACCTCATTTCAGGCGGATAAAAAAGAAAGAAGGAACGTGGAGTGAATAGAAGCAATTCTTCGAAAGCCGCCGCTAGTAATGCTATGACACAGAGAACAACCCAAAACTTGAAGTCCAATATGCAATACTATGATATATCATCCCGGTGATACATACATATCTTCGAGTTTCTTCACAACCCAAGATTTGACCTCCGCGGCCTTCTCTTCAGTGAACTGCATTGTTGCACCCCTCTAAGTCACGCGCATTAAATCTGTTTTCGCGTCTGATAGTATCTTGTATGCGCTCTTCAATGTCCGGCTATGCGCTTAAAGGTTCGAAGTACGACGTAACGAGGTGAGGATGAGTTGGTCGATTGATTCTGGGGAATAAGGTATCTCGTGCAAAAGTCCGGCTTCAAGCTCTCGCCTTACAAACGTGTATTAATCTTCTCTGAAAAAAAAAGTTGAATGGTTGGTTAAACTGGTATTTCCAAATTAGTAACAGATTAGAGCGGAATGTGTAAGATATCGACGGTCGTCTGGTCGTTCCGCTGCAAGTTCGCTTCCTGTCATTCATATATACAACATTTTCTTGTCGATGCAAAAAAGCAACCGCGCGCAAAAAAAAAAGAGCGCTCTGATAGATTACATAATACAGTCCTATCTAGCGCGTTTATTCACGTGACCTAAAGTTTTGACTAAGCCATGTAAAAGTGGACGACATTAAAACAATCGACGTCTACAAGGAGAAAAAGTGTCTACAGAGAACGAGGTTCGCTGACAACTCCTATGTATTCTCTGTGTGGGCGTT